AAAAAAAATACAAACTAAGTCTGTCCCTCTTCCTTCACTGCTGTTTGTAGACCAAAGCTGAACACAGCTATGGCTAGCCAAAAGAATATCAGAAATACCATTAAAATCCAAAGAGTGACAGAACACAATGAATTTGGGTATCCCCCACCCTCCGACACAAACGACTTAAGTTTTTCCTAGATATTCATCATATAATAAAGTTCCAGCTTTATTTCGAAGCCCTCACCTTAAAGGCACAGTTCACGATAAAAATGGTTTCTGATATTCCCCACAGGAGAATTTGGGGCCCCGCGTATACCATATCTGGCACTATTCGGTCGGAAAATGGCCTAGTGAAGGAGTTATAAAGGCTCAAAGAATATCCTCAGACGAGTTTCACCGGCATTGTAGAGGCTGCACAGGTCACAAGGGAACACATGAAGGAAGTTCAAACAACTTGTCATGGCCTGTAGGGACAGTGAAAGACAGTTCTGTACAATTCCGATTGATGTAGTCAGCTTTGTGCAATTGCAATAACTGAAATCTCGTCTGAATAACCCTTCCATGTTATTTCCGTCATGGCAATCTTGTCTAACCTATATTTTCCCTACTTTTGAGGAGCCATATTTTTCTCGAAATCGGCGAATTCTCTCGCTTTCTTCACTAACGATGAACTATTCGCAATCTATACTTAAGCTTTTCGAATACCGAAAAGAGGCACCTCGAGATTATCGTGAACTGTGCCTTTAATCATACTAATTATCTTCTTGACTGAAAGAACAAAGTTAACCAAGATACCTTTTAAGGGTATAAACGCATTTGTGTGAACCAGGCTTTGCCTCCCGTTGTTATCAATGATAGGATATCGAAACATTTTGGGACGATATAAACATGAATAAATGGCCTCTATAAGTCACTGGATAAATCAGGAACACTTTGATATTCCAGATAAACTTGTTCATGCGACGCCTCGAGAATATTATAGGAGATCACATTACGTCGTACATTTTTGCTCAAATGATCGTTGATTCATAGTCCGACAAATTAGTCAGATAAGCTTTCAGTAATCCGCAAACGCATCTCGTCAAAATCCAAGGTCGAAAAGAATAAGTGAAAAAAATAAAGGTGAGTCATAGCAAAACGCAGATTACTAACAAAAGAGGCTAAGTCGATCGCACCCAACTAAGAGCCGTCTCGTAAAAGCTGTTCCTTTGTTTATGATGGACAGTGACTAGGGGATAGAGAAAAGACTACAAAGTACCAAAAAACTATTGAGATACAAATACAATAAACACCAGCCATTGATGGTCCATAGGCTTATGATGTTGTCATAATTCGTTACCCTCTCCGGTTAAGTTTTTTTTCAGATTAGAATCTCTTTATTAATGGAGAAGAACAGTTCAGGTATTGAAAAATGGAAAAAAGGAAGGGTGACTAAATAAAGGAAGAAGCCACAGAAATATGAGAAGATCTCTACAGCAGCCCTTGGTAGGGCAATGGACTTTCATATCCGTGTGTTCTCAGTCGCCCTAATTCTTTTCAGATTTAAATCTCTTTACGCAGAGTTGAGGACATGATAATAAAATGAAGTTGCACCAAATTGTTGAAAAGGCGAAGAATCAAGAATAATATGAACCTCAAAAAGTTGATACAAATTTAACGCTCAAAAGTCTCACCCTCGTCAATGGCAGATTGTGCTTCTTGGGAACTAGATTCTTCACGCCTTCCATTACGAAACGTGAGCTATGGCTGAGCAATTTGTTGAACATATTAATCGTCTTCGTACCGGCGCCCTGATGCTCTTCAGGAGCAGTCTTACCCAACTGCGAAATCGACCTTGAATGAATCGTATTTCCAGCTAATTATAATTAATGGCGGGCACTACTTTACATTAGTTATTCGGAGAGAATGAAGAAAAGAAGGAACGTAAGTGATATGTCAATGAGAAAAAAGAATAAAAGAAACAAAGAAAGAAAACGGATGAAAATGAAGTGATGCACAAACCTCATCTTTTGTACAAAACGCAGCGCTGATTCATCCACAGCCCTTTCTCGAAGGAAGTTCATTTGTTCATCAAGCTCAGCCTGAACAAGTAACACTTACTCTCCGCTGGGCGTTTTTACATCGGGAACATGGAAATATCTCGGATAAAGACAAATAAACAAATTTCCAAATGTCAGGACTAACTGAAGACAATAAAAACCTTGCGGACACTTCGAAGAATCGCTCCAGCGCCTACATTTGAATGCACTCAAAACATAGCAATTTGAACACTAATCATTCCCCACCTCCCACTAGAGATGCCATCTGATTTCGGCGACAAACAGAAATAGGGAAATGTTGCAGGCCGCTATTACCTTGCTAATGTTTTCTTGACATAAATAGTTGATCAATATAACTCTGAGGACATCTTCAGGATTAGTGAGATCTGACAGTAATTGGAGGAGAGGTATCTCTGAAAGAGAGTAGAATATCCAGTACCAGAAATAAGAAGTAAGAAGCAACTTTATGCAACAACGTACCAAGAGGTGAATGTTGCAGAAGTTTCTGCTCCAACTCGAAAAGAACATCCAACTTTCTTTGTTTGATGTGATCCAGGAGCGTCGTGGCAACATTTGTATGAAGATCTATCAACCTCTTGGCTTCCAACAGTTGAGGCAGTGACGTAACGGTAGATCCTAATTTTGCTGTCGTATCCGACAAGAGTGAAGTCATCGCTGCATCTGCATCGGTACCATCCATTCCCTAGAGAATCGCTAGGTGAACATCTGCTCATAAATTTACTTACGAATACCGCTTCAAAACAAAAGTTTTTGTCGCTTGATTCAAATCTCTGTGAGGTCGCTCATGAGAGTCTCGATTGAAAGGACAAATGTCTCTGAAGAATCGGAAGGATGGAAGACTCATATGTATCATGATTTCATGTTGATTCATTAACGGTGTACTCTGACACGTAAAAAGTGGGAATTTGTCTTTTCATGGACTTTCAGAAAGAAGATTGTAAAGCTGATGTAAAATAAAATTTCCTTCAGCGAACAATAAACAAAACAAGGAAACAACAAAAAATTGTCTAGAAATTCACCATTGCATGCTTGAGCCGTTTAATTTCATCTTCGCTATTTCGATAAGCTTCCAAATCTTCTTGAACTGCCTCGGCTACCAAAGGAAAAGCGCTCCCCTGAATAAAGATATTCCAAATTGTGGTTTCGGGCACGTGTAACAAGCGTAAACAATACCGAAGCCATAATCAAACCCCTCTTTACCTTGTGCTTTGTCCATAATTTGTCTGTACCACCGCTAGACATGTCGTATTCTTTCTTCTTGCCAGATTTCTCTGTGATTGTGACTCTGTTCTGATCCAACTCCTACAACAACAAATATAAGATCATATGAAGGATAGTGATGTATTAGTGGTGCTCACCAAAACATCGTGAACTAATGCCTGATATGTCCAAGTGTGATGTAGCATTGTTGCAAGGTCAGCAGATCTGGAATAGCCGAGAATGTTCAAAAACCCACATTTCGAAATTATGGAAATCTTGAAATGTGTGCAAAATGAATAGCTCCAACCTGTCGGCAATGAGAAGTAGAGGACGACTGGCATTCAATTGACCTGCACGAACACTTTCTATGGTAAAAAGATTATTGCGGGCGTCTCTCAGATTATCGCGAAGCTTCTGGTCTAATCGCTAAATCATTAGAAATAATTATTCTAATCGTATATCAGAATGAAAAGAATTGTACGAAGAAAAACGAGTCTAGACCTGACCTTAGCAACGTGCTCAGCAGCGTTATCCTTCGGACAGCGTATAATGGGTACAACACCCATCGTTGCACACACAGCGAATAGACCATCAGCAACAGAGTCGATAAAAGCGGACATTTGATCGTCCGAAGTAGAAGGATCGTTAATAGCTGAAACGTGTCATCCTACGGAATACTGGTAACTATGTCAGCTGAACAGTAAGGAAGAACCAACCAAAATAAGACATAGGGCTATTTTCGCTATAACGACGCAAAACGAAAAGATCATCTTCGAGCGAAATGAAGTTCAGGTACTGGTCAACAATCTGAAGCACCAAATGGTAGAGTTACGAAGCAACTAATTGCATTAAGGGACCATTCTTCACAGCAACAACTAGTTATTCCTCCTTTTTATGCTATTCTAAAGATTCTTCAGTTCGCTTCTACACAATTTAATGATCAACTAACAAAATGCCTTACCTTCTGTACTTGACCATCGGAGCCCCCGTGAACAGCTGCTGATGCCAAATTTTCAAGTCGAACGCGAGAGAGCGGAGATATGAAATTAATGTAGAAGCTGTCGTACATTCCCTGTCTGAGGTCTTCACAAAGTAAATCCACATTTTCATCAGTTGGTGAAATAAAATAAACCGCCGGTACATCTGTAAGGGCTTCACGCTTGGATCCGATTAGCCTGTAAATGGAAAAGCCCTATTCCAAAAGCAAGTAAATATCCTCGAAAGTAGACGAATTACTCACAAATGCAACGTCACTCCAAGGTCTCTGAGACTTTTGATTGGTAACAATGGAGAGATGACATCTTGACCAGCTTTATCAAGAACCAGAATTTTCCACACTGGTTCAGTAACCATGGTGTTCGTAATTGGCTGGTTCAAGTTTATGACATTCCGCAAGGCGGCTGAAAACATGTCCTATTTAAGAAAAATCAAAGCCAAACACTGGTACTAAGGACACAGAAGCAATTCCGCATCTCTTAAGATGACTGAGGTCTTTTACCACAATAGTATGACCCCACTCCTAGTGGGTAGTTGAGTGTAACGGTAATGTACAGTGATATGGTGTTCAGACAGCAGGCTTTTCAGGAAGACGGAAAACTGAGGTCGAAGAGCTTAAGGCATCTTTAGGCGACTCACTGGGCAAACGTTGCCGATAACTTATAATAGTTCCTGTAACCCGATGCTACCCCAAATAGAAAGATAGGATCTTTATCGTATTCTTCCAAGTCTTCCAACTACATATCAGGACTGCCAAGTTCTGGTCAAGCACGTTAATTTCGCTAAAACATTGAGGGAACGATATCGACGGCGAGAGTTAGCAATTGGATTTGTCGTCTCCGCTATATCTGCTATGTCACCTTGAGGATGATGAGATCAAATCCCCGCATGTAGTTATAATATAGCTCGAAGAGCATCCTCAACAAATTTCTATCAATTATGAGCAAGGCATTGTTGAAAATCAAATCATGCGCTTGTCAAAATTTTGAAAAAGAAGGAGAACTGAACAAAATAGCATGGCTGTAGAAAACACCGACAATCGAATTTAAAAATATTTTAATATCGACAATAAACAATACTCACCGATTTGCCTGGATCGGATCGTATCCAGCTGAGGACCTTCGAACTGGTAGCTCATTGCCCTACAACAAAATCACTCATTTAGTATCAAGATACTTACAGATGTACTGTAAACGTCCAAATGTCCGTACTGTAAATTGACAACCGTGGCCACGTTGAAGACAGAATGCGTCAGGCGGGCCAGGTTGACGCAAAGAGCGTGCTTTTAGATTCAAAAGCCTTCAGCGTTTTCGTCTTCTTCTTATCCCTTTCTCTTTTCTTTAGTTCGATTTGGCTTTAACGAGATTCCTACACATTCATAAGAATGGAATGATTTCTATCGAGATTCTTTTCTCATGGAAACCTATGCATCGGGTTCCTTTAAAACGCGATGAGATAGGAAGTAGTAGAAGGGCGGGCTTGCTAAGAAATTTAATTACTGCAATTTTCTTGAGCACGTAAATTTTACACTTCATATTGCTTCATTGGTAGTTATCAAACGCTCGAGACGTTCGTAATGCTGGTCTTCCTCTGTTATTGGGCGTTTTTCAAGCATGTATGGGATCAAATAATACAATGTTAGAAGGAAAGCAATTGAGTCTCAACCCGCAACTGACTTCTTTATCGAACTTTCATTGCCGCAAAGTGGTCTTCTAGAGTTTTTACCTCAAAGGGGAATCTTTAAAGCCGATGCGTCTGAGCAACAGGCTTTGTGAGCAGCTTGTTTCGTCTACTTAGAGCTTGTGCAAACCTCTATCATTCGAAATTGTATGAGGCTAATATTTGGCAATTGGTTATTCGAAAATTGTCTTGGCTATTACAGGTAACAAACAGCAATGGATTCTGACCTGTACGACGAGTTTGGTAACTACATCGGACCGGAGCTTGGCTCAGACGATGAGGAGAATGAGGATGACGTTCCTCTTGCAGGCGATGCTGATGAGGAAGCAGAAGAGGGGGATGATCAGGTAAAAAGGAGTGGAAGTTATGCAGCAAAATAAATCGCGAAATTGCAGCCAACCTTTTATCAATTTTCAGGAGGAAGTGGAAGATGATGCAGAAGAAATACCACAAAATCAAATAGTTCTACACGAAGACAAAAAGTACTACGCGACTGCTCTCGAGGTGATGAATTTCTCATCTGGAAATAGATTCGACATTGCATTTTCAGGATTGAATCGAGGGTATTTCAGGTGTATGGAGAGAATGTGGAAACGATTGTCCAAGAAGAAGATGCACAGCCTCTCACAGAGCCTATCATCAAACCTATTACTCAACGCAAATTCCAGGTAGTCATGGCGGTTTGGGTGATGGTCTCCATTAGTAAACAGTGCTTCCTTCCAGTCAGTAGAACATAATTTGCCTGAAACTGTGTACAAGAAAGAATATTTGGCTGATCTCATGGATTGTCCCCACATTATGAGGAATGTGGCTATTGCTGGACATCTCCATCACGGGAAGGTAGTTTTTAGATAGAGATGGACTTGGTAATGCTCTATAACGAGTACTTTTAGACAACATTTTTGGATTGCCTCATGGAGCAAACTCATCCTGAGTTTTATCGCGCCGAAGATGCAGATACTAGGTTCACGGACACGCTTTTTATTGAACAACAACGGTAATTTGCTTATATAAAGTTTCTCATAGTTTTCCCATTTAGCCTAATTTCTCGGTAATGCATTCAGAGGATGTTCAATCAAAGCCATGCCAGTGACAATAGTAATGGAAGATTCGCGATTGAAAAGCTATCTCCTGAACATCATCGATACACCAGGTAAGATTTTCAAGTGGTATTCTGGGATGCGCGAAATTTGCGACTTTAGTACTTCGAGTTGTGTGTTTTCATTTTTGCTTTCCTTTTAATTTAGTTTGAGCAGTTTTCAAATATCGCTTCCCAGCCTTCTTCTTTTTAGGACATGTTAACTTTTCTGATGAAGTCACCGCTGCGTATCGGTTGTGCGATGGTGTTGTGATTGTGGTTGATGCACATGAAGGAGTGAGGAATTTTGATGTCATAGAGCTCTTATGTTGGTATTGTTCTTTTGCATCTGAAAGAGTTCCTATTGAGGTGATGATGAGCACTGAGCGCGCAATCCGCCATGCTGTGCAAGAGCGTTTACCCATCACACTGTGTGTAAACAAGATCGACCGCCTCATTTTGGAGTTGAAGATGCCACCTGCAGATGCGTATTATAAGCTGAGACTTGTTATCGATCAAGTCAATGGATTACTACAGTAAGCTTAGCAAAGGCAAAAGTAGCATCCAGAGAAAAAGGGAAACCCTATCTGGATCCTCTGTTTTCAGAACATTCTCCGAAGACGATACACCTGTGATGTCTCCTCTTTTGGAAAATGTTATCTTTGCATCTGGGCGCTACAACGTCTGCTTCTCGTTGCTTTCGTTTGCGAATATCTACGCAGAGCGACATGGTACATTTTCTATCCTTTTTCAACCGACTGAATGCTTCTGTANGACGATTATGGGGTGATATTTACTTTGACAAGACAACTCGAAAGTTTTCCAAGAAGCCACCGTCTCCCACATCGCAGAGGACCTTCGTTGAATTCATTTTGGAACCACTTTACAAGATTTTCAGTCAGGTGGGTTTTGAAAATGTCAAGCTAAGACTGACGGAACAACTCTCTCTTGTTTTAGGTCGTAGGAGACGTTGATACCTGTCTTCCTCATATGATGTCTGTGTTGAACATCAGGCTAACAAAAGAAGAGCAGAAGATGAACGTGCGACCTTTGATAGCGCTCATATGCAAACGGTTCTTTGGGGATTTCAGAGGTGATATTGGTTTTGCCACTTAATGTTGAGGGTTTAATACAGTCAATTTTTTCAGCATTCGTTGATTTGGTTGTGAAAAATATCAAGTCGCCTATCGAAAATGCTAAAACCAAGGTGGAACACATTTGGCTTGGACCTGCGGAAAGTAAACTTGCCGCAGAGATGGCAAAGTGTGATGCCAATGTACGCTTTCATTTGGTGCCATATAATACTGTCTTATGTTATTTTCATGTCTCACTTCATTTTGTTCTAGGGACCTCTAATGGTACACACAACAAAGAACTACCCCACCGCGGATGCTACATCATTCCGCGTCTTAGGTCGTGTCATAAGTGGCACCATTGAGAGCAATGCCGACGTTCGGGTCCTAGGAGAGAACTACAGTATTCAGGTGCAAATATTTTTTTGGTATTGGCTGTAAAAGCCGGTTAAATTACAAGTTGGCGCTCCACTTTTCCTTCCCTACTCTTCTCTTTGATTGTTATGAGTTGTTTTTCCTTCGCAGGATGAAGAAGACTGCCGCCGTTTAACTGTCGGTCGACTATGGGTTTATGTGGCCAGATATCAAATAGAAGTGTCGCGTGTTCCGGCAGGTTGTTGGGCTCTCATTGAGGGTATCGATCAACCAATTGTAAAAACTGCAACCATTGCTGAGTTGGATTATGAAGAAGATGTGAGTGATCGTAGGAAGTTCTTTCAGATTATCAGAGATGAATTTGCTCTTTCTCAGATGTACATCTTCCGTCCTTTGAAGTTCAACACCAAAAGTGTGGTCAAGATGGCAATTGAACCTATAAATCCGTCCGAACTACCGAAAATGTTGGACGGCTTGAGAAAGGTAAATTGCTTCGAGATTCTATGTATTTCCAAGACGCTTACTGAGATTTCAGGTGAACAAATCATATCCCTTGCTTACAACGCGTGTCGAAGAGTCTGGAGAACATGTCCTTTTGGGCACTGGAGAACTCTACATGGACAGTGTCATGCATGATATGCGAAAGGTTCCGTCGAGATATTTTGAGGTTTCCATCGGAAAGGTACAGTTTAATATTTTAAGGTCTTCTCCGAAATTGACATCAAAGTGGCTGATCCCGTAGTGACGTTCTGTGAAACTGTAGTTGAAACGTCCTCCTTGAAATGTTTCGCTGAAACTCCCAATAAAAAGTAAGCCATTTAATCCTAAGATTGAAAAGTCTTCATGTGTAAGCTGAACATTATTCAGAAATAAGATCACTATGATTTCCGAGCCATTGGAAAAGGGTCTAGCCGAGGACATTGAAAATGAGGTTTGCTTCTCATTTGTTTTGAGGCTTTCTGTCTTGATCAAGACTCTTCTCAATACGAGAAATGGTTGTTTAAGGTCGTTCAAATTGGATGGAACCGTCGACGAATCGGAGAATTCTTTCAAACAAAGTATGAATGGGACTTGCTTGCGGCTCGTTCAATATGGGCCTTCGGACCTGACATTGCTGGGCCTAACGTACTGCTTGATGACACACTTCCTTCTGAGGTAGCATTTGGCACCTTTTCATGGTTGTTTACCACCTAAATGTTTACCACCTAATATGATAACTTTCTGCACTTCAGGTTGATAAGCAACTTCTTGGTACAGTACGAGAATCTCTTGTGCAAGGATTCCAATGGGCAACCAGAGAGGGGCCCTTATGTGAAGAACGTGAGCTTTTTGAATACAGTTTCCTTTCCTCGTGTAACCAATAAATCTGTTTTTCAGCTATTCGTAATGTAAAGTTCAAGATGTTGGATGCTGTAATTGCCAAGGAGCCTTTGTACAGAGGAGGAGGTCAAGTTATTCCTACTGCTCGACGATGCGCTTATTCCGCTTTTCTGGTATGTTTGCTATTACATAATTTTTCCCTTTAATTCAATATAATGCGATTTTTAGATGGCAACCCCTCGATTAATGGAGCCCTACTTTGTTGTTGAAGTTATCGCTCCGGCTGATTGTGTGTCTTCCGTTTATACAGTTCTCGCAAAGCGAAGAGGTCACGTTACGACGGATTCTCCTATACCTGGATCTCCTATGTATTCGATAAAGGTGAATATTAAATAATATATGAACAACCAACCATTCCCTTCTCAAGAAAAGGAGCATTTGAATCTGAATGGGTTGATTCATGCAACCGTCATTTACGATACGTAACACCCTTTCAAAACTAGTCGCTTTGGCGGATTTTAATCACTGCTTACAATCAGTCACAACTGATGTTCTAGGCATTTATACCGGTGATGGATTCGTTTGGTTTTGAAACAGATTTGCGTACCCACACACAAGGGCAGGCATTCTGTATGGCTGTGTTCAACCACTGGCAGGTACGATTTCGATCAGCTCAGTTCTATTTTCTTATACTATTTGAAGGGCTCATTTTTATATTGTTCAAATCGCAGATTGTACCCGGTGATCCTTTGGACAAATCGATCGTGATTCGACCACTTGAGCTGCAACCAACCCCTCATCTGGCAAGAGAGTTCATGATCAAGACAAGGTATGTGCAATATCCGTTTTTGAGTAGTAGGCAGAGTCTTAACTAATTAAGATCATTTATGTGATGACAACACTGCCGAAAAGCTGGTTTATCCTTTTGTTTTGATTGTTTGAATGAAGGTGCCTATAGTTTTCACTTAAGAATATTTGTTTTTAGAAGAAGGAAAGGCCTATCCGAAGATGTCTCTGTTAACAAATTCTTCGACGATCCTATGCTTTTGGAGTTGGCCAAGCAGCAAGATGTGTTCAGTTATTCAGGATTCTAATTTTAAAAGTATTTCAATGAGACCTGGTTATGTTGTCGTTGAACTCTGTTTGTTGAGGTTGTTATCTATTCTTGAAAAGGGTTTTGTTGTTTGTTACCATCCATTGAAACGCCACTATGGTTTTTACGTAACCATTCCTGTAGTGGTTAAACTGTATTCGAGTAACGAGGGAATCAATGTAAAAGCGACCAATACACAAGGTTGCGGGCTTGTTTATGAACTGTATGAGATGTATTTTATAACCCTTTGATCTCCAAAGTAGTATGTTGAGAATAAATATTTGAACGATGTTTATTATCATGTTTATACAAAACAACGTAACTTCTGGAAGTAGTAGAGGGGAATAAATCCCACCGGAGAAGTCCTTACTAATAGGAGAGCAGAATTACTCGATTATTAGAAAGGAGAAAGAGTACTTGAATATACACATACATAGAACCCGTTCGCTTCGGATATGCATTGCTCCAGACCTCCTAAGCCAGCTTCTAGTCTAAATGTTGATTGGACCGGAACCATTTTTGACAGGCTATATCCCTGGTTAATTATTGCCACAGTGTTCCCATCATCGTGTGTTCACATATCCATAGGCTCAAGTTTCGTGTTCTTGAGACCCATGTTTTGCCTCCGTCGAATTGTTTCCAACGTTCGACCGACATGTGAAAAGGCGCGGTCAAAAGCGGCTTGGAGCTGAAATATCGTGTTCTAGATAGAACAATTGCGAAAAGTACACGAGTACTATGGTGAAGGATATCACCTGTTTCGTCTGGTCAATATAGGCATTTATGGCAGCCAGATTTGCTCCCGAGTCATCCTCAGCGCCGTGACGCTGCAAAAAAAAAAACAAATGGTCTGACTCGATTATCATAAAATATTTGAGCGAAATATAATAGTCCTTTGGGAAAAAAATCAAGCAATACAAACCAAATAAGTAAACTTACTCCTTTCGAATCAGAAAAGCCCACATGTTCTTTCAAAGCGTCTTTGTCAAAGATTTTCTCCATTTTACTCATTTGTTTTTGTGTTTCGCATACCAGGATCTGAAATGAGAAGATATTCTTTTGCCTTACATGTACTGCCTCACTTTTTCTATGAAATTTTCCGATATCTTTAGCAGAGGAAGAACTTGCCAAGTTTCCCTCAATTTCATCACACACAGCAAACAGATTGTCCATAGCCTTTAGATACTCTTTCGAGTTCGATGGAACGTTGCCAGCACGAAGATCCTTGAGGGCTTCTCCTGCCCGCCGATTCAGATCCTATGATAAGTAGGGTACATGGCATTTCTCCAAACATCTGAACTCAATGAACAGAGGCATTCCTCTTTTCTAAGCTTACAATGATCGAGAAACGAAGGTCTTTCATAATCAGCTGCTTGCTATGTGCTACAGGGTCTTGTAGATAAGGATGCGTCGGCTCTCCTGTGGAAGACGACTGCAGCGCAGGCTAAAATCAGTGGAGTTCTTGACATTATCGAGGAAAAGGAGTAAACCACGTGAATAAAGGTAGGGTAAGACGAAAAGAAAAAGATACTTATATATTCTGAAAAGTAAACTGTTTGAGGCAATTTGGATTAACCTGATTACTTGCAGGTGTACCGGGAGGAACCGATGCCGGTCCTTGCTGTACAGATGAGGGTTGAGGTATGGTTTGCTGAGATGCAGGATTCATGGGAGTATGTGGTTGCACAGACATTGGTCCGACAGAGGTTGGACCTCCTGCACTAGCTACCGCAAGCGTTGAACCGGGTGCCTGTGAGCCTGGACCACCACCTGGTGTAAGCTGCTGCTGAAAACGAAAGGATTCCGGAAACGAATTGAAGAAGGCACCGAACAAAGATTTGCCGAAATGTACCGGTCCAACAGAACTTGTCATAGGACTTCGAGGTTGTTGCATCTGCATGTGCTGTTGAGAAACGTTTTGTAGTGAACTACCCAATATTGTAGTTAACTGTAAATGAGGATCAAGAAGAAAAGCCTCAAAAATATGGGCAAAACAGCGGCAATATCTACGTGATGCTTTACAAGGTGATCGAATGTTGAGTCACTATGATGAGCTGACGTGTACTCGTCAACTCAACTTCCACGTGGTCTTGCGAAATACAAAAGGTGTACGGTGTGTCAAAAACCAGGGCAATAAAAAGTGTTACGAGGGTTTGGAAATAAAACTAACTTGTGGTTGATTGGAATGCATGGGTTGTTGACCAATTGGTTGCTGAGGTTGTTGTGAGAGTTGTTGTTGTACAGTTTGCTGTTGTGGTCCCAACTGTTGTTGTTGAACCATTTGTTGTTGCTGTTGCTGCATTCCCATTTGCTGACCACCCAGCTGTTGTTGCAAGCCCATTTGCATCTGCTGCTGATGCCCCATCGGGGGTTGCTGTTGCTGTTGCTGAGCTTGCAATTGTGGCATTTGCCCCATTTGTGGCTGCCCCATTTGCATTTGTTGCTGCTGTTGTGGTGTAAAGTGCATTTGCATTTGTCCTTGCTGTTGAGGCATCCCTGAGTCTTGAGCGTACATCTAAATGCTTTCCTTCTGATCAAGCAAACAATTGCCCACGATCTTCGTATTAAACTAACGTATTCAGTTATTTCCTAGCAACATCTAGGCTACAGAGCAGAGTGTTTTTTGATCCTACTGTATGTCATGTCAGTTGCCTTTTAAATATAGTCAAAAGACAAAAGGATTAAGCCTTTGGGCGTTGATCAATCCCGTCTGCGGGATGCGCCCTGAACTTTACCCTTTCAGACGAGTCGACTACCAATCTTTGGTCGCGGAGGGACTGCAGCTTGGCTAGTATAAGCGGACATCGATCCGGGATTTGAACCCGTGACCATGCGTGTGTGATAATGCGCCACTTGCCACTACACTACCTCTGCTCTTTCATGTATAATAAGAAATGAAATAACCTGAACATGCAAACTTCACGCCTCATCAACAAGGGCGTGGCCGCTTCTTAACAGGAATTACAACCAATCAAGTCCTTCCTTTGATTTGACAACATAAAGTGGGACAACTGCATTAAAAAGTACATGTTATAACTGATGTTCCCACTCGCAACCTTTTTATAACAAACATCTGCGTCCAACTTTGTTAATGTTGCTCCTTGCGCGTCTAGAACTAACACACATCTTTTTCTATTCTTAGACTCACACTAAATAATTCCGGCTGTCACTCAACAAAACATTCACTATATCAGGGCAACCTCAAACTTCAACTAAGGCACACTAGAAAAGTATCGATGTTACGGTTGTCCATCGCATACCTGTCGCTGAACACCCATTTGACCCATCTGACGTCCCATCATATGCTGTTGATTGTACATCATCTGAAGCATAGTCTCAAATAAGTCATCAAATCCTCCAAAACGTTATTAATAAAACCCGAACGAATGTTACAGAGCTTAATAAACGTAAAGTATCATCCGATAAAATGCCTCAGAGAATCTCAAAGTCTCACAGGTCTCACTTGCGATATTTGGGTGTTCTCTTCTTTCTTATTCTACTCAGTTATTCTGAGATGTCAGGGATTCTCAAGCTTCAATGTCGACTTGGCACAAGAAGGGTGCACGTCATCGAAATAACTAGGGTGATTTCAAAGTCCCGTGAAAGTTTGATACAGTAACGACACTGGCACGATACAACCCACTTCCGTGGGCTTCACCCAGTGTACCTTTTTGTTGCGTCGTATACGTGGCGGGTGATTGAAGGCGCTTGAATGTGAGATTGGCTTATTGTGTAACACTTTCACGGGACTATGAAATCCGTTTTGAGTCAAAATATCCATGCTTTTAGAGAGTTATTAACTTTGGCACTTTTCAGGTGTAAGCTTGAATTCTCACAATGTCGTGTAACGTTCACGTTCCAATAAAAATTTGGCACTACAATATCAGTGTTCTGAAGTATCCAGAAACTTTCAAACCTGCTGTTGCTGCATATTCGGAGGTTGGCCGTAACCTTGCTGACCCGACATTGTGACAAACCCGTTGTTGTGCCTTTGTCTAAAAAATGATAAATTTTCGGATATAAAATCATTTCACTGAATCGAACACGGAGAAAAAGAATTACTCCGTACCAAAATTCACATAACAATACTTTTATGCGAGTGAGCGAAATATGGCCTAGTAATAATTAGTTGCACACCTTAAACTATCATCTTTATTCAAGCTATCTTATCAGATCATTCCTGCTTACACCAAATAAATAGTGGGGTCACGGTTCACACACAATGACAAAATGAATTACCCTCGAACTACTGCGCACAGACCACTGCCATGATATCATGGAAATAATTGCCGTGAACAAATTCACCAGGAATTGTAGTGGGTGCAGTTGCGAATGAGGCACTCAAGTGACGTGAACTGTTGAATGTCGTGAACTGTCGCACGAATCGCACGTCCCCCCTGTTGAATCCACACTCCGTGTAACCAATGTTCAGCTCTTACAAATGGGTTTGCTCATTGACTTGGATAGATCCTATCATTAAAATATGTTGAACACCTCAGTGCAACAAGAGCAAAAGCCCACGGCTTTTTTACAATTATCTATGGGTTTGAAAAGCATAGGAGGAAAAACCTCAAACTTGGGAGCCTGAGAAGAAGAGCACAGAGTAAGATCGTTCGTCCAGAACAATATTCAATATTCAGTAACATTCAGTAAATTTAGTACTGTGTTGCACAGTCTATCGCCCATAAAGGAAAGGAAGTGCAAGAAAATGGCAGCCGTTAGTTCAAATTACGGTATGGCCGAAAGGAAAAGATCAGCTTCAGGAAACATTACTCGAGCAGCTTTTCCAGACGTTTTCTGTAGTATTGCCCCCGGACCGCTTTACAATTGTGCCAAAAAAAAGAGGGAGAATGCGAAAAACTCTCAGAAATAACCACCAATAAGGAAAGTTAGCTACTTTTCAAGTTGTCGCACTCATACGTAACAATAAGGCCCCTCTATTCTCTCCCACTTCCTATTCTCCCTAACGTCAATTCCGCGCCGTCGCCCAGTCCGCTATTCCTGTCAGCAGTCTACCTTCCTTCATGGCGTCTCGTGTCTTATTCTAGTTTTAAGGAGGTTCTTCTCGATCACAACTCGGCACCTCTTCTTAGGGGCTTCTAGTGGCCGCTTACCCTGAGCCTCAAACTCCATTGCCTTCCTTACCGGATGATTCGATAGTCTTCTCAGTATGTGTCCGTACCCAAAACTCCCCAATCGTGGGTGGGCGCAGAAATAAAAAAAGAGGTCTGAGCCTCGCCCCCAGGAGCGGTGACCGCGGATTCTGGCCTATGCCAGAACACTTCCGCCGGCCACAATAAATAAAATCAATTTATTCATAAAAAACATTTTTTTTCTTCGAAGTGCCAGCTCGCTGCCCATAGTCCTAGCGGCCGTCGTCGTTGAATCCGTCGCCTTGTGCTCGGTTGGCGCACAGCAGCACATTGTGTGGTCTCCCGCACGCCGCGCCCTGCAAGCCACAACCGTCGTCTTTGTGAGCAGGTTTAAGGCAACTACCACAAAAGCCGAGCATCGCCACCTGCATACTTTTCTCAACCGCATCGGGAGAGCGGTTGCACCGTGACGTGTTGTGACCGTCACGGTTGTCAGTCCTGTGCAGAAAATACAGGACGAGCGCAGCCCCGCCCGCTTCAGCAGCTCTTTTACGGCTGCCTCGAGGTTGTAGGAGAATCTCTTGCGAGAAAATGTAAATATACTATGCAACATAAGTGTGTCAAATTTACCGCGCTAAGACTAAGGGTTTTGATGAGCCCTTTTATGAACACCTCGCGGTGGTTCAGTGGAATTGTAAAGGTGATGCGATGTAGGCGAAGAGCGAATCGAACAATATTTTTAATAGTGCACGTAACGGAGAGCAGTTATCAAGTGAGAAGTGAGCTTGTCGTCCAGGTGCCAAGGTAGTTCGCCCCCACCAGATGAGAGGTCATCGACTGCGATGCGCAGGCGACGATATTACCTTGCATCAGTTGAAAGAGAAGAAGAATTTCCGATTTCGGTTCGGCTTTCCAGTGATCCCTTATTGTTGTTGCAACGGCTTCAGGACAGGGGCATGAAAATAAGAAAAATCCAGCATATTCGCTCTCCCTTTAGTTCGTAGTTCGCCCCCATCAAATGTGACGTCATGAGGGAACATCGCCTACGATGCGCAGAAGACGATACTCCAGCGAGGCGACGGTGCGTATGGCTTGGAGACTGCTTGTTGGACAATGAGGACTGCTTGATGGTGGCTGCCTGTTTGGATTTGAGAAGTCTGCTTGTTGAAATAATGAAGACTGTTCGAAGGGGTGACTGCTCTGTTTAGGCGGTTCAGTGGTTTTCTACTAAGAACTCCGGTAATAACGGAGTAAAAATACAGCAAATGTAATAATAAGCGCGCTCGTTACCGCTATGAAATGCACAGAAGGAAGTTAGTAAATAAGAACTTATCTTAGCGACACTAAACCCACGTGCTGCCTTTGCTGTTGCGTTAGGTAGAAGTGAGGGACCCACTTATCTCGGGGCCGCTTGACCCCGCACCTTTTAGGGGCGTGATTTAAGCTAGAGTTAGTCGTCTTAGACAGGGGGACGACGAGATAGTTATGGTGAAGACATCGTTGCCTCAGGCGACGACATGCTCGTTGGAAGGTGTAGACTGCTAGTTGCGATCCAACCTCAGGAGCGGTGTCGCTTATGATGTGGTTGTGTTTGCCTGCGTTAGTGACAGAGCAGCTAGTTGTGATCGAGACTACAACTGCCACTTCACCTCGCAGGCATCCTCATGCCTTGGTTTCAGCCATTTCAGACAGAGCTATAGTTTTGCACCTGGGCTGTACGTGACACGGGATCGGGATACCTGCTACACCCGTTGGTTTAGTGAGAATCCCGAGTCTCATGCTGTTGCGGGCGCTGAGACTAAGGGTTTTCATAAACCCTTTTATGAACACCGCGGTGGTTCAGTGGAATTGTAAAGTTGTTGCGATGTAGGCGAAGAGCGAATCGAACAATATTTATTAAGAGCAGAGAGCAAATATCAAGTGAGAAGTGAACTTGTCGCCCAGGTGCCAAGGTAATCCGCCCCCACCAGATGTGAGGTCATCGACTGCGATGCGCAGGCGATGATATTACCTTGCATCAGTTGAAAGAGAAAGAGAAAGAGAATTTCCGATGACGGTTTGTCTTTCCAGTGATCCCTCATTGTTGTTGCAACGGCTTCAGAACGGGGACATGAAGATAAGAAAAATCCAGCATATTCGCTCTCCCTTACTCAGAGGACTTTAGGTTGTGCTTGTAAAGACGCTCGCTTCTGTCTGCTGCGGCGTACTTTCGTTGCAATCCTCCCGCTGTCGAGAATACTAGACCGCTCAGCAACCAGGAATATGCCGGACTGACTTCTACACATCAGATCACATCCTCGAGGGATGCGTGCCAAACCACGCCTACTTCCAAACCGTAGAATATGATCTCGTTAGGTATGATCTCACAGCAGGTATCTCACAAGCTAAACGTCGTGATACGTGGACCGGGCAGATACCTGTCCCTGTGCTCAACATTTTGTGGGCGACTGCACCATTAACGACTTGTGCATGAGCTGATGTAACTTGAAATAAGATATTCTTAGAACTACCTTCACGATACCACTCCACACTAACAACGCCACTAGGTATTTGACGTGAGTGTTAAGGTAACGGAGCGGGTGAGTTCAAGGTGCTCTGGCTGTTATTTATAAATCTGACAGTCGTCTATTTCTAACTGCGATGACATCACGATAAATTAGTCACCGAGTGGAAATGTACTTGAGAGGGGGAGGATCATCTGTGCGGTAAGAAAGGAAAGGTTTGCCGTGACGAGAGGTAGTACTGCCAGCTGGGGGGAGACACCGATCTTTTTCAACACTGAGTGCTAGAACGTAGAAAAGGAGGGGTTGCAGGCTTCGCGAGCCTTAATTTTCATTTTTTTATTTTTCATTTACAGAAGTAGAACGTTCCTAAGCTGAAAACATAGAAACATACATAAGGCAGATGAGGGAATGAGCGCACGTGGTTGAGTCAAAAGAATGTTCAATTTTTCCCTATCCAACTATTGGCACGATGTATTCATCTCGCACCGCCTTCCGGTGCTCCTCTCCTCTTAAGGCTTACGTGAAAACTATATTTTTGGCTATGAACAGTCTACATATAAGCTTAGGTAAAGCCGGCCACCCTTCTCTGCGCTTTAGCGTTTAGTGATAGCAATGAGCGGTGCCCTCTTCTCCCTCCCCCATGTCAGCACGTTTATCAATACCTGTAGATTTAGAACACAGCCATATATAGTTGGGGCGAGTGCAGTGAGAAGCCTTTCCCAATCATGGAACTTGATTATGGCTCGATAAAGTGTTTGAGACATGAAGAAAACTCACGAACTTTATCTCTGACCAATAAGGTTCCATTCGATCTTAACTCGCACAATCCCCCTAATCCCTCCTTTGCATATACGTCAGATTTGTATTTCCATGCCGTCTATTCTGGTTAAGAGAGTCAGGACTCCTACATATAATGTCGTAAACTTAACTTCGGTATCAGCCAGCGGTAGAGTAAGTTGTCAAGTTACGATTGGAGTCCGAATTCCCCAACTCACGATCCGTGCGCAATAAGCCTCTGCACCTCTAAAAAACTTCCAACAACTTTGCGAAACATATGTGCATTTATGATCTGCGTAGGTGCAAAGGAAAACATGCTTAAATTTAATGCGTGCGCTTGAATGGGAAAGACATCGGTCAACAAAAACCCTTACCCGTGCAATATTATCATCGATCCGAGCTTTGTGACTTTTGTGAGGACGGAATCACGAAGCTCAGGTCTGGAACTGGTTCAGTGACTGTAGGGCTCCATGAAAGAGATCCACAGTCTCCGGCACTCTGCGCGTACGGCTGTTTTGGACGCGGATTCAATATAATCCTGCTGGTCAGGTCGCGTGATAGGCACTGTCAAGCTGGTTCATTAGATACACATTTCAGAAAAGGCACCCTCCTTATTTTTGATCACAAAACTCAAAATCGAACGATACTGAATTATAGTTTGCCTTGTATATTAAATAAACTTTTATTCATATCAATCTAAGCGATCGAAAAAAGAATTCATAACACAAAAAGAAACGTCAAGATCAATGTTCACGTAACAGCAATTATTGTGGATCATAAAATTAAGGGAGCAATCTAGTTATACAACAATCTAGTTAACATATAGTCAACTCCAGCCCAAAGTGAAACTCAAAACACCGAGTCGAATGGAACCGCACGGTAACGCTATAATTTACCGCGTTATACTAAAACTGGAGCGACTAAGACTGTGACGATCAAGGGAACAAGAACGAAAACAACTGACGAAAATGATAATAAGGATTCAAAGTTTCATCAATAAGAACAAATACGTACTTCAGAAAAGCAATGTTCATTCCTTATTTTCCTTCTCTTCAGCCTTCTTCTCTTCAGCTCCCTTCTCTTCAACCTTCTTTTCGTCAACACTGTCCTTCATGTCGTCATCTTTCTTTTCCTTATCACCTGCTTCATCATCATCATCTTCAAGGTCTGGCATCTCTGAAAGTATCACATTGCAAAATGGAAGCACGAATAGCATGCACTGCAAATAAATGACATTTAGTGAGTCACAAAATGCCGAAAGTGTAACAAACCTCCATCGCTTTCATCATCAAGTCCATCGAAGTCAGGAGCACCGCCTAAAAATTTTTTGTTCTGAAGTTAGCTTGGTTGGAATTAAAAGTTGGTGGGGAGCCTACCTCCGCCTCCCATTTGATTCATATACGAATTAAGATCAAAGCCTCCTCCAGGGCCACCGAACGGGCCGTCTTCCGCACCAGAATCATCTTCGTCCTTCCATTTATCAAAATCTACTTTCAACCAGTGCACCTACAAATGGAATGTTTTAAGTAAGAGGCGAAGATATGAATGGGGACATGGATTTTGACAAATAGCTCAGATTAGCAGACAATCGGATTCCACCTGACCCAAAAGGGCCTATGCCCTTATTCACCTAACTGATTAGCCTACTAAATATTCTGGAAGATTATCCAGAAAATTGCTACACCGAAGACATGATGGGATGTGGGATTATGCAAGTACCCACTCAACCTATTGCTTTCAAAAAAGTACGGGAATCACGAAAACGAATACTGCGGTAATTCTTCTTATTAAAAATAGAAAAAAGACGGAGCTGTACAAACCTTTCCTGTCTCCTTCAGTAGTCGTGGCCACCACTTAGCTTCCTTTTTGGGAATATTCAACTCAATAACTCGGGTATTCGTAGGGGTGCGTTTCATTTCACTTCCTTTAATTTCAGCGAAGAATTCCAAAGTTGTTTCATAAACTTCGGTATGGCTGGTTCCCCTGCAATGATGTTCTGAGTAAAAATTTGTTAAATTGCTAAAACTACATAACTTGTCTTCACAAAGGTCGCTCCTACTTGATCATCTCAAAAACAAATGTGTCAAAGTTACTCACTTGAAATGCATTTTATTATCATCGGCACTGAGATCATCAATAGTAACATCATCGACTTCAATCGTAACGTACAAAAATGATTCTCGTTGTGCCCAAATGACCGGAGGCTGACGAGCCGCCATTCTTAAATGGTAGAATTTCAATACGTAATCAGCAACAACTCGGAAACAAATCAAGAGTGGACCACAACACTGGAACCACTTAGACAACAATGCTGAACCAACGTATCGCAACAATAAAAAAATTCGACGAGAACAATCTGCAAGAACACCCTCCCGCTTTTGAAAACGCATTTAAAGGGTAAAGACGTTCGAGAAAACTGCCGCGTTTCAGGACCACGATCAGTTTTGGAATTTGATTCCTTTAATGTAAGATTGTGTAATTTTGCGATTAAGTGATTTGTACTTGACTTATTTGTTACCTTTTTAAATTCCTTTATAAGATTGCGCAATAGGATCGTTATAAGAAATGCAATTTCCTTCAACTGCTCCTTATTACTTCTTATTACTCTGTTTTCGTAGTCGTCATGTTTCATTCGCCGTGTTCTGAAGTTGCGCTGGACTTATTGGTGTTGTTTAGAATACTTGGTGACAGGCCCTTTTCAAGAGTTGTTATGTCAGAGGAAGAAAAGAAACTAAGTAAAAAGTAAGTCATGCTTCTCAGGTATGCTGCTTTTGGGCTTTGTCTCGCCCGTCGTCTCTCAATTCCTCGAGGCATTGGCCGAAGGTCAGTTAACTGACCTACCGAGTGATTTGATGTAGTTTTTGCTGCAAATACCTTCAGTATAAATGTAAATATGTTTAGTGAGCAGAAGAGACTGGCTAAGCAAGCTCAAAAGGAAAAGGAACGCCTGGAAAAAGAGGCAAAACGGGTCGCTGCATTAGATCAAGCAAATGGAAAGCCTGAAAAGGTAGGATGAAGTAATATTCCCATTTATTATTCTGTTGACCCTTGGTTTCCCTAGTAACCATAATTATCATCTTGCCAAATCCATACTCTTAGGGTATTTCGTGGTGGGTTCCGAGGCGCCCCTCGAGGCAGATGTGCAAATAGCTGTTGCCGCTGTGCATAGCACTTGCAGTCCGCTCTTTGGGAGACATGAAAGATAACTTCGTAGACTGCAGACTAATTTTTCTGCAGGTATTAGAGGCACGAAGAAGGAGTTGAGGTAGTATAGAGGCACTACTGCATCATTAAAGGATAAAGTCTTGGGGCGTTAAACAATGCCGTCCGAGGGATGCGCAAATGCATTCTACTTCCATTCAGAATCGTAGCGGCGTATTGAATGCATATGTGGCCTATACAATGACTTGCGGTAGCCAGTCGATGTAGAGGGCATGTAGAGGGCTTTTACCCACTTTAACGAGCCTCGTAGCAATTAACCTACCACGGACGGATGGGAGGCTTGGTTGACCTAGGCGGATGTCGGTCCAGGAGTCGAACTCGTGACCGTGCGTGTGAGGTGTGCGCCTCTTACCACTACACCACCTCTTCCACCTACAGGACCGTTGTGTCTTGTAAATAATCGGAACAACCATTAAGATCGTCAAGGAGGCCGATCCATCTGATCCGCAGGAGTACTTTAATATGCGAGTGGACATGATTAACAAAAGGCGTGCAGCTGGGGAAAATCCATTCCCTCACAAGGTATCTTCTGCCATTTCTAGTGGGGTTTAACTAGTTCGAAAAATCCTCTTTCAGTTTAATGTTTCTATTTCGATTGCTGCGTTCATAGAAAAATATGAGCGGCTCCAGAAGGAAGAAGTTCTGGATAAGGAACCTGTGAGCATAGCTGGTAAGTGGATCGCTTATTTTCACTTCGTCATCATTCACTTATTAAAACGTTTAGGTCGTATTTACTCGAAACGTGAGTCAGGAAAAAACTTGGTGTTTTACGACGTACACAGTGGAGGTACTCGTTTGCAGGTATGCTTAGCATCGTTTCACTTTATGGAGTATTTTTACTTCTCTTTGTGAGTTGTAAAAAGAAAATGATATGGTTTGCGGAGTTGATTAGGGAGCTGCTCTTAGAAAATTTTGATTTATTGGTTTTGTAGAGATATAAAGTTTCATTGGTAACAAAGATTCGTTCCGGTACCTCTGTGTGGTATACCTGTTTCATCCTTTTTCTTTTTGTTGTTTGAATATCATGTTTCGGTTTTTTCTGTTACCTTTCTAGTTTTTGACTTCCCCCTTGTTACTCTGCAGCGCAAAATTTGAAAAATGGAGTTGTAAACTGAGAAACACATTTCTACGATGTGCAGCGTACTGCAATAGCTTACTAAATTAATATTCAATCTTATTTGCCTTTTTGTAAGCTAAGTAATAGAGACAGTTTCTATCGCGGAGACAAGGTCATTCTGTAACTTCACTTGTACTGAACTCTTCTTGGTTCTCTTGATGTTCATGGAATGCCTATCTCGGCACCTTCGATTATTTCAGGTGATGGCAAATGCACGATATCACAAGGCAGGTGCTGAAGACTTCGCACTGGTTCATGATAGGATCAAGCGTGGCGACATAGTTGGGTTCATTGGCTTCCCGACCAGGTAAATCCGTTTTGTCATAGTAAGTTCCTTCCGGTAGCGACTGTCGTAGGACTGCGGATAGTAATGGTATGTAGTAGAACAGAACGTCTCGATGACATCATCCGCTTCTTATTCTATCGCCAAATCCATGCTAATGTCGTTCATTTTCGAGGACGAAGACGGGAGAACTTTCCGTTCTTCCGACGGAAGTCGAGCAACTGACGCCTTGCCTCAGAATGTTGCCTCATTCGCATTATGGTTTGAAGGATAAAGAACTGAGGTTGTAAAACGATCAAGTGTTTACCTTTTTTCCATTTCTATTTTTTTTTNTTTTTTTTTCAAGATATCGAATGCGTTATTTGGACTTGATCGTCAATCCGGAAGTGAAGGACAAGTTTGTCGTACGCAGTAAGCTGGTCACGTTTTTGCGTAGATATTTGGACAACCTAGGCTTTCTTGAGGTCTAACATTTCATTCTCCCATTTTTTATTTTTCTCTTTGGTCTTGTCTGTCAAAAGTTGTTTAGGTTGAAACGCCAATAATGAATCAAATAGCCGGTGGTGCCACTGCTAAGCCATTCGTGACGCATCACAACGAACTGGACATGGACCTGTTCCTGAGAGTTGCTCCTGAACTGTATCACAAGGTGATTAATTAATCTTGGTCCGAGAGCGGGAGATGTATCTGTTCCTTTAGATGCTCATTGTCGGCGGTATAGATCGTGTGTACGAAATTGGTCGATTGTTCCGAAATGAAGGAATTGACATGACGCATAATCCAGAATTCACCACATGCGAATTCTACATGGCTTACGCAGACTACGAGGATGTGATCCGCTTGACAGAAGACTTGCTCAGCAGTTAGTTAACATTCACCGAGCCCAATTTTCAGTTCCAATTTTTTTGTGCCATAGTTTTGAGTCATGAATCCCCTTGTTTCTTTTCCTTTGTAATTTAAAATTTTTTGGAAGATTAGATTGCCTGCATCAGAGCTGAAAACTCCACCACATTTGTCGTGTATCTTCACGTGGCAGAAATCTTCTTTTAGAAATGGTTATGTTCATTCATGGGAAATATAAAATCCTGTACCATCCCAATGGGCCCGGAACTGAACCGGAATTGGAGGTACATTTTAAAAAGTATTTGAACGCTGTTAATCAGTGCCATGGATTCATCCGATTTTAGATTGATTTCACCCCACCGTTCAAACGCGTCAATATGTACGAGGGGTTGGAAAAAGCTCTGGGCATCAAGCTGCCACCTCCAGATACGCTGAAAACTGAAGGTTCGTTATTTTCATCATTTTTTTCTGAATAGTCCCTTGAACTGGTAGATGCAAATCCCTGCATACAAACTCTACCGAATCTTTGCAGCCGTCATGTTTTTTCCCAAATAGCTCAGAGCAACTTTCTGAGTTTTAGATGTTTGTATTTTGTCATTCTCTTGGAAATGCTTAAGTCCTTAAAGGCCTTCGTTTACAAACTTTGCGATTTCTCGCTGTTCAGAGTCTCGCCAGATATTCGATCGGCTATGTCAAGAGAGGGGCGTGGAGTGCACTCCACCTCGCACGACTGCTCGTCTTCTGGACAAGTTGGTGGGAGAGTATTTGGAAAGCACATTCATTTCCCCAACGTTCCTCATTGGCCATCCACAGATTATGAGTCCTTTGGCGAAATGGCATAGGTAAACAAGGTCTCCTTTGTGTAAAAGTTTCTGTTTTACCACCTAGTTTTTGTTCTTCAGATCAATCCCTGGTCTTACCGAGAGATTTGAGTTGTTTGCTGCCATGAGGGAGGTCGCAAACGCTTACACCGAGTTGAACGATCCCATCACTCAGCGATTAACTTTCGAGCAGCAGGCTGCGGTATTTTGGCACTCGTATTTTATTCCTCGAATGACTTCCTTTATTACTTATTTCTGCTCATGATTTTTCGTCTACCTATTTCTGTTTCAGGACAAAAGTGCTGGAGATGATGAAGCTCAAATGATTGACGAGAACTTCTGCACCGCTCTTGAATACGGCCTTCCACCGACCGGTGGTTGGGGAATGGGAATCGATCGTTTGGCTATGCTTCTTACGGATAGCAACAACATCAAGGTATTATTTTTAATTTTAATACATTACTATATTTCATATCTTGCTGAGCATCTAATTAGGGAATGCCTTATGCTGGGTTGCAGGCGCGAAATTGAAGTAGGAGTGGTCTAACAGTAGTCATTCAGAAAAAAGGTTCAGAAGAGATCTTCAACTTTCAAACACATGCTTTTCAGGACGTACTCTTCTTCCCTGCCATGCGGCCAGACGAACAGAGTCAGAGCCTCACGGGAAATGTCGAAAATTCTCAAACATGTTAAATCGGTTAATTCATTTGTTATTGTTTTGTTGAATGGTGGTTAGTTCAAGGTTACAGAATGAAGGCTTTATGGAGAAATATTGTTTAACGTCGTATGTGCTGTGAAGAAATGTACAAAAGAAGCTGTGTCAGCCCTGTTACATCTACTGTTCAAAGGGGTGTTGAAATTTGTCGCATTTACTCTACAATTACACTCGCTTCAAGGGTAGCTGACCAATATTATGAAATGGGGAGGGATTCAACGTCAGCTTCCTGCATTAATTTTTCACAATTGCGTGAGTGGGACCATCAACCATTCGGGCCATTTGCGATTGACTAATGAAGAGATGATTTTAGTATGAGCACTCGGAAAGCAAGCGTTGGGATTGTAAGAAAACTATAGAAAGAATGAATCACTTGAGTGAAATAGACATAGAGCAAGTCAAGCTAAACACGGCTGCAGAAAACTCTATTAGTGTCTATGAAGTCTAGGGAGTGCTGCTTCAGCTAATCACCTATTTAGGTGAGCGCTGTTTTAGCCACACCATCTATCGCTAATCGAATAGAACTGATTACAAAGGTTGCAATACGTATGTTGGCACATACTTACATGAACGAATTTGGAGTGAGGGAATTTCTTTTCGTGCAAACGAAATTCCTAGACCTCTTTCACCTTAAACCCTTTTCGCTGGAAATGCTTACTTTTCACAGCTTCGCGGATTTGACCATAAACGCTGTCATTCAAAATTAACGTTAATGTCCCAATGGCTTTAAACAGTTTCTTCAGAAAGGGCTTATTTGCAGGTCCAGACAACCTTTCTAGAAAGAAGTGTGAGGGAACTGTAAAAGTCTTATTGTTGAGGAAGACATGAATGCCGAAAAGGGCTGACTTCTGGACTGGCTTCACATGCATTTAAAAAGTCACGATCGGAATTCAAGTCGAAATCATGGCGCAATACAAACATTTTGAGGTTAAGGGCCAAATCGCAATGGCAACTACAGTCCAGGGTCCAGGCTGACTTGCCAAGATGTGATGCTATAGACTACGACCCAGCTTTAGGTGTTCAGAAGAAATATTCAAGAAAAGTATAATCTGCTAACTCAGCAACATTGCAGTAGTAACTTAATGTTTATAACATACAAGGAGTGAACACAAATTACAAAGTCGGTACTGTAAAATCAACACAATTATAACTCTATACACACTTGCGAAAGGCAGACACAAAAAGCGCTAGAGAACAGTGGAAATTATTCGGTAGATGACTGTTGATGTAGTTACAACTCTCTGAAAATGGGTGGTACAAGAGAAATATAAGTAGTGCTGCTAAAAGAAATCAAACAGAGTGCAAAGTAAACACTTACTCCGATTCAATAAATCCATTTGTGTAGATTCTCAGCATGAACTCAGCTTCCTCATTGGGTTCGAATGTTGATGGGACAACCACGTAGTTGCCGGGTGGCACACGGAATCGACCAGTCATCTTCAAACCAAGGGATCAGTTTGATGCACCTCATCTTTTATCACAGATTAGTGAAAAAAAGGAGCAAACGGGAGCAAACGGTCAAACTCACTCGCCATAAATGAATACAATTTAAAGTATTTTGTTCACTAAGGAGCTTGAAATAAACAAAAATATCCCCAGTACTTTTGAAAATTCATTCCTGACCTTGTTCCAGGTCGAAAATAGCCCTAGGCACCGAAGACTTGATTCAAACCACTGAAAACCTAGAAATGTTCTAGGGAAGCACCTGAGGTCATGTGAAGAGTCAAAATGTTCAACCGAGGAGCTGATCAAGAAAAGACAGAAAATTTTGAGTTTAAGCTATGTAATTACTGAATTAAGTCCCAAAATTTCAGATATCCTTTGAAATTTCATCAAACAATCTCTTATCTAAATATGATATTGCTCCCAGATCGTGTCCCAAAACATGTCCTTCTACAGGCTCAATCAAATTCTTGAAATACCTCTCTCAAATTGATGAATGCTGCGCTCCTCATCGCGGACTTGTTCGCTTGGAAGAAACCCTTAGACAAACGCCCTGTGATATTGCCAGCCTGAATAAAGTGAGTTCAGAGTAAAGGACCACAACAACAAGCTACAGTGCTAATTAGGTGCTATACATAGAAAGAATTCTACAGAGAATACTATTTCCTCTGATCTGCACGGCAAGTAGTGGCTTGATTAGCTACATAGAGAGGCACACGAATTCATGAAAATACCCTAGCGTCTAGCACACTCTAGAGCAACATAAGAAACATAAACTTAGCACATTCGTAACCAACCATAGAAGACTCACCGATACCTGCAAACAGTTTTGACTCAGCAATTGTATCACATAATTACCGAGTCACAATGGAGCACAACCATTAAATTATCTGTGTTATAAAATGATTTCCTAGATGATTACTCTAGAGCCAGCTGATGGGAGGATGAGGAAGAAACTGGCCAGAGAGGAGCTAGTGAAGGTCAAGGATGGAACGAGCAGGTCGTTATTTTTCAAAATGGAGCAGAGGCTGTTAGTCTGTCCGAATATCCGGTTTTAGGTTGGGAAATATGGCTGCTACACAATAACTAGCTAACTAACTAACTAACTAATTAACTAAGTAACTAATTAACTGTTTAACTAACTTGAAATACTAAATTGCGTGTTAGATGCATGAGATTCTATAGAACACAACATTAGAATATTAGAATATGGTGTCGAAGGGGCACAGAACAAATGCAAAAAATAAGGTTCTAAAAACGGAGTGAACAGAGAGTTAAGAGACTGCTTTTGCGAATTCATTCGTAAAAAGTAAGACGCGCGTCGAGGGATGCTTAAAATCTACCAAGCGGACTCGCCGATTTTTCAGCATTTTCACATTTCTTCAACTTTCCGATTCTTTTTTTTCGAACGTTTTCGGCATCTTTCAGTGACATTTAGCGGGGTTGTTTTTGAGCGTAAGAGTTACGCATGTTTATGCTTCCCTTAGTCTTACGAGGTGAACCGCCTGAACTATCCATCCTCTCTACCTCCCTCATGGTCAGCTCAAATGCATCATGCATCGTTAGAAACGATTGACAGATGGTTTCACTACTTGCCCGATCTTTCAAAAGAGGTCGTTAAAACCGGAGATGGCTGATAGTGCTGCTGCTAGTGCGGATACTAATAATTCAATCTAACAGAAATTAAATAAACCAAGAAATTGAACAAAACCTAAACGAACTCCAGTGCTACGCCACAAACGTAGAATTGGGTTTGCGGCGTGCTCGTGCATGATTCTGTATCGGAAAGCTACCACTAGAATCTTACCAGCCCAAAGTAACATTTTACTTGGCTTTGCAAAAGAAATCAAAAACTCAGTACAAAGTAAAATTCAACAAAAAAACTAAAAATGCCTGCACAAAAAAAAACGTACGTCGTAGACCGCAAATCCAATGGGTACGTTATCGAGACCTTGAGCCTTCAGATTTCTTCTATATTTTTGCATTACTGCAAAGATCACTGTGCATAGTTCATCATCGTCATCCGGATCAGAATCAGTGAGTTGTACACGATATTGCGGATTGCTTGCAAAGGTATCTAGAAGAAACACGTTAAACAGGCTTCAGGCAGCAAAATGAAGTTCACCGAACTTACTGATATAATTCCTGCAGCCACCAGCGGTTTGATTACGAATCCAAGCACCATCGTGTGTATTGGTGGCCCATACCATTCCAGCTGCACGTACACCAGTCATCTACAATATGAACTCTTTCAGAACTTGATTCTTGAAAATCACAAATCAACCGTCTACAGGGATTTTAAGCTTAACAATACAACATCATAAAAACCAAAAACGATTCGCAAGATATTGGAACTGTCAAGAAAACTGATAAATAGAGCTCATAAAGTTTTCCAGATAACTGCGAAATCATTGACGGACTCAATCATGAGCTCTATTTATCTCAGTTAAATTAATTGCAATCAATCGATAGCGGTAGCAGTCAATTTATGGATGCAATCTTACCAACGGCCAAGAACTGGTCGCACGGTCTTCGTGCAAAAGGAAGGAAAGTCACCAGCCTGATAAACTTCATCCATAACGTCGGGCCCAAGATTGCAGATTTCCATCTTCTCAAAGTTCCTCATGAAATCTTCAAATGACATCCTAAAATTGAGAAACTTGGAAACATCTTTTATCTAAGAATTCACTGTCAAAGCCAAATATCTTAAAATACTACTTTCCACTAAAATTCTCTTCAGTTGTTTACTGAAATCCAAAATAATTAGAAGTCCTTTATTTCACAAGTTCGAGAAATTTTCCAGTTAGTGGGACTCTTCCAATTTCAAATTCTTGCGCGAGGAAGCGCTATACAACTGCCAAACACACGATTCATTTACAACATCAGAACCAAATTCTAAACGATTATTGCGATTAAGTGAGAAAGAGGGATGTGTTATAAGCGAAATGAAACCAGACGATTGGCCCAAAAAAAAAACTACCGAGAGATGAATGAAAATGTAAAGGTTTTATGGCGTCTCGCTATGGCTATAGCGTTTTGGCTGAACCGTGCGTATCTGTCACATTCATTTCACCTACGCCTTGGAAAAAAGTGAACGAAAATTTGCTGACAAGGAAAAAAAAAAAGAAAATTTCAATGGATGATGTGATGAGCATGGAGTTCGTACCAGAATTCTCCGTCATGATCGAACTTCAGCCCCATGTCTTGCTTAACATTATCTGGGATGCTGCGCCATTCCTTCGAGCCATCCGACCAAGGACCATTCCATTCCTGAGAGATGAAGCCTTTACTTATATGAAATAAGTGTTTTAGCTATCATATTTACAAAGCAAAACCTATAATCCTCTAGATAATCTTTAAAAATTGCGCTTCCAGCCAGGAAAGGAATGAAAGAAGGGGATGAAGAGCAGTATCATTGACAAAAATAAACAGAATATCGCGTCTTTTTAAAGCTTTCTTGATTTCTGCCTATTATTCATAAATCCCGCGCATTATGTCCCGTGATTTCTTGTCTTAAGAATAACAACATGTTGAACTTACTTGTTCATTTCCCCATGGATTTCGAATCCTCATCAGACACACCTGACCATATGGCCCATTAACGATACGCATTCCAGTAATCGAGTAGGCATGACCCTATAAAGTCACAGATACACATGAACCAGAGAGTCTATGTGATTACCAGGGTAAGATATCAACTAGGTAAATCAACTTTTCTACTAACCTTGACAAGTCCGTTCGATAACTTAGCTTCCCAGACATAAGGATCAGCTTCGATAGAGCAACCAAACAGTGAACCCATCTCGAAACTGCAAAAAATTATAAATGTTGAAGAACAGCTAATCGGAACAGCTGAGATCGTACCCCCTCATCATCATTTGCATCAAATTCCTCGGCGGTTGGTGGAGGTCGAAGAACTCAGTGAGACCTCCGGTCATATCTTCAAGAGCTTCTGACGTGGTACCTCCCTTGAGGGCCTCATAAGAACCATACAATCTAAAAAATAATTTCAACGATAAATTACATTAATACGTTTCCAAAAGAGCAGCCAAATGCTGTGCAATCGATAACTTCTAACTTACTTGGCATAGGCTTTCTCAAGAAGAGCACTCCAGAACTCGTTGTTACTGGCAGAGTGCATGTACAACAGTTCACCGTTAGATGTTGGAAGACGGTCATCGACCACCACATCCACCCATTTACCATATTGCCAGAATTGGAAATGGAAAATACCTGAAAATCTCGTTTTACGGGTTTTCTGATACTTCAGGGGAATTGAGAACATCATAACTTTGATGAAAAGCTCAAGTACATTGAAACATAAAAGACCACCTTGTGAGCAATTAGAAAATATTGGAAAAAAACGTTTGAAGTAACGATAAACCGGAATCTTGACCTGCGTAGTTCTCAGTGAACGACTGATCTGGTGGTACAACACGATAGAACAACTCGTCCTTCAGGGTAAGATTAGCTGCTGCAGCAAGCAGCCAACAGTCACCAAGTTCGCCCTGGAACATGATTTTTCAAGGGAAAAAGTATTCAGAAAGATATGACAGTGCCGTAGAAAATTGACTCACTTGAATCACATCGAATCGCGAATGACCTTCAGTGATGAGCTGCGGGTCACGAACAATCTCCTGAAGAGGTCAGTTCAGAAAATGCTGAGGCACTTTCAAAATGTCTACAAAAAAGTTTCTTTTTCAAAATTTATATGTTGTCCCCATGATAAATTCTGTTGAAATGGTCGTCCAGATTCTAGTATGTTGTTGGGAGAACAATTTCTTCAAAAAATCACAGCTTTATAATCATTTGATTTCTCGAACGAAACTAAGCCTTCCACTTCGGTTGAAAAACTCGGATGTTTCCTCTTGTAACTTCTTGAAATTTAGCGCAACTACGCTTTTCACTTTCGCTCAATCCTCAGGTGGCAGATTGATCAAGTCCATCGCCAGTGACACTCAATACCATCTCAAAATGAATTTCGATGCCGTTCCCAATTACATAATGTCGGCCAGTTTTGATCGCCCTAACGCGAAGGTCTTCTTCAACTGGAACCAGTCGATATCGCATTTTATTGCTCGTCTTCCTTTTCCGTTCATCCGTTAAAACTCAATGTTTTACTGCTAGTCAAGTCCTAATATCGTATGCCATTACGCAAATTTTCTTTCCACTCTTTAAAGTTCGCTATAAATAATTCCGAAAATTTTATAAGAGCGTTATAAGTATAACGTACACCAGGCCTGAGCCAGTCAATTCGTTTAGGAGGACTTCTGCTGTAGAACAACGAACTGTCTTGAGCAGGGAAGTGAGGATCTTCAAATAGGCGCTTCTCCTGAAAAGGAATTTACCTCGTGATATCCACATTAATCAAATAATTTAGCTCAGCACTCGAATGGAGCCTTTAGACGGAAGCATACTCACCTTCAGACATCTGTCACGTTCTTCATAGAAGTCAAGTGGTGCATGAGATGGAACCGGCTGGATGGGAGTGATCCCACCAGTACGATCTGGTCGAGGTTCAGGTCGAACGAATGGATCCACCTGCAAGTCAAGATAGTCCAAAATAAGTGCAAACGTTGAAAATGTCAAACTAACTTACATCTCGCCTGAACTTTCCGGAAATGATATTGTCGAGAATAATTTTACCAATATTACCCAGCGAGTTATCTTTACCACCGAGACCCATGATCACATTTCCAGCAACAGCACCTGGCATAGAAACAATGAGACTGATTAAAATAGACTACAGTAAACAACAACACCGTCGAGGATAGGCGTTGTTACAAAATAGATAGGAATCGTCTGAAACCCGCTTTAACATTTTTTGCTTTATTGACAGTTTTAGTAAGTTGGAAGCATAGTTTATTTCTTTCTCTGCATAGAAAAAGTAGTCAAGAAAAGAAGAAAAAGTAATCGAATACTCACCAATAATACGTCCCGTAGATGGATCAACTCCGAGAAAGCGATGAGCAGCTTCACCGATAAGATTTCCAAGGATATTTACCATACCCCCATTCAATCGGTTGGGATTGATGTTTCCACCTTAACTGGATTTTTTCGAGTATTACTACTTCCAATGACCTCCACTGTATGCTAAATGTAGTAGCAACTACAAAGGGAAATGAAAGAATGTACCTCCTCCACCGTACTGTCCTCCACCGCCACCAATGAGGCTACCTATGCCTCCTATGATGCTGCCGATGTCACTACCACCACCTCGGCCGCCACCGCCTCCTCCACCACCGCTGATCGTGTTGATAATACCTGTAACTTTCCCTTTGTATAAAAATCATAAATCAAATAGTAATCAAATTATAAATATAGCTGTATAAGTAAACGCTCGACAAATTAGGAGATCACAGATCAGGAATTAGACCTAGTGGGAAATTTCATGCACGGCACCCCTTTACAGTTCCCAACAGAGAGCTGAGCGAAAGATAGAAAATGGGTTTTCAAGCGCAAGCAGCCAATTTGGCCGAAGACTTTGCGCACTCTGCTGCACAGAGGTCTAAAAATCTACGCTGTCACTAGCTCTACACCAAAACCCTAAACTGTATGACAATTTTGCAGTTGCGCGCTCAATCGGGACACGTTGTACCACTACTACATTACCATCATAGCTAAAACCTAAGAAATTTTGGTATATACCCGCTCAGTGCACAAGAAATCAGAAATTTGAAAATGGTAAAATGAATTTAGCTTAAAAAATTGATTTCGCAAAACTTATTCTGAATCAAACCTCCAATATCGTTCAAGTTGAACCCTCCTCCACCACCTCGCGATCGTCCCCCACCGCCACCACCTCCATAGTCGTCATCATAGCCACCGCCTCCTCCGGGGTAGCCACCACCGCCGCCGCGATTCCCTTGAAATAAAAAAGATCTGTGGATTTCCATGAAGATATTCAGTTCTGGACAGCTAGTCGATACTGCGAGTGCGCGAGCGTATGTTTGCGAATGAGGAAATGACTACGAGAACAACATCGCATTTCCCCAACACAGGAAAACGTCACTCACAACACTTGCAAATCAACTAACCGTGGGGTTGGGAACCATGCATAAATCGGGCTCAAATGAACTCATCCATGTCCTTGCACAGAGTAAAACAAGCAAAACAATGAGAGGCAATGATTCAAAGAACCAGAGCTCATCCAAGTAGTATCTATTTCATTTCTATATGACTTTCATTTCTCTGTGCTCGAACTTGACCAGCTTACATGAGACTGACTGACTATAGCATGCAGGAAAGCACAAAAAGCGAACCTCCACCACCTATCAGACCGCCGATGATGTCACCCATCGGGTCTCGGCCTAAAACTCATACAATATACATGAGCTGAAATCGAGAAAAAAATAGCGGATTTGTTGTAGAGGAGCATAGTTGAAGAAGTCATGCTTGATTGTCGTTGAGAAGATGTAAGTACTGCTCCAGTTATGATGATTAAGAGATGACAGAATGTCATTCACAAAAAGCATACAATCCTTTACGCTTCATGCAAATCCACAGAGGACGTATGACGAGTAAGTGCGAAAGCTGTTAACTATTTGGCTCACATATTGAAGACACACACTGTAAACGCACATCCGGGGTGAAACTCTATAGGCTGTTTTTCAAAGAACATGACACCATTTGCTGAATCACCACTACCGGATACTCTGGCTATACATATGGGTTCTGTCGAACCTTTTCTGTCCTCCTTTCGACCGCCGATCAATCCGCCGAGAAAGTCGAGCGCTTTGCTGCCCTTAGACTTATGCTGTGGCGGTGGCGGTTGTCCACCGCCACCGTAGAAACCACCGCCTCCGCCGTCATAATTATTATAGCCACCTGAACGACACAACATGGAACACATAACAACACACAAACAACGTTCAATTCAACCGTAGTGGGCAGTTCACAACGGAACGCGAAAGGGGAGCGTAAATAGCGAAAGGAACACGATAGAAATGCAAGGAGAGGTGCCAGGTATGTCCCTATATTCTAGCTCACCCGTAAGGCAATGGTGAGGACTCATTACATTCTAATGGAGGAAGGAAGCATCAGAAGACCTTTCGGAGTGCCGTAGCCGGCAAGGCTTACTCGTCAATGTTGATTTGATACGGGTGATTAAACAAAACCACCCATCCCCTCCCATCGGTAACCCATCGAACGTTTCCACCCCCTCTTACCTTCTTTGGACGATGACTGGTCCGATTTCAAGAGGACCTATACATTAACGGGCATTTCTCGTTGCAGGCGATGTAATGGGCCAAAGGGGAAATGTCCAAAGACAACTATGGAATTTCGATCCATGGGAATAGCAAAAATAGATCTTTAAATACTCAAATACAACCGAAAACGATAGTCAAGCCGAGCAATGCACTGGTGTATCGAAAGGAAATCCACTTCCACCACAAAAACAGGCCAACAGTGTCCTACTGAATATCCTAACTAAAAGCATCTCAATAACACTCCAACATTGAAAACTTCTATGGGACGCTGATAAAGGCACGCTGGCATCCGTTAAAATGACAAAAACTTGAGAGACAGTGCGAGTGCATCCTAGCAGCATATTAAGGCTAAGGCTACCACAAAATTCCTTCGCAGGAAAAAAAACGCTCTATGAATCCCGCATTTGCGAACTACACACAGATATAAATACAAAGCGAGAAAAATAACAAAGTATAGAAGAAAACGGGAAAGAACCAAGGTTCACAGCAGAGGACAGATTCTGCAAAGCAAAGGTTTGACGGAAAATAAAAACTCATACCTCTGCCACCGCCACCACCGAGCACATTATCCGCAAGGCCGGCAAGAATGTCGCCACCTGGCCCACCTACCTGTAACAATAATAACGATAAAAATAATGTAGTATGGACCACTTCAAATAAATGAAACAAAACCTTTCAAATAATAAAACAAGAAATAACCATCAGCAAACTGATAAACAAAAGAACAACCATCAGCCAGCTGAATACCAACTACCACATACGCACAGATGTTCTTCGAACGAGAATGAACTAACAACTTCCACAAGAAACAGCCATTGAATATCTCCAAATTAGGATTTTCTTTTTTCGAATTGAACTTCAGTGGACGGGTGAGGTGCGAAAATAACACCTGCCTAATATTTCGGAGGGAACGCGCATCTCGCTGCGCTGTAATAAAACGCAAACATCAGCAGTGCTTGGGAAACAGCTGCACTGATGGTAGTGCATTGTCCAATTGCAGAACGGAGTGAAAGGGGAGGAATGGAAAGCCAAACTTTTAAAACATAGCTGAAATTTGCGCTGTAACTTGAACACCCCTCTCGTCTCTTCCCCAGAAGTGCCTACCTTCCCAATGTAGGCATCTTTACTACTTTCCCATCTTTTATTTTACTCGCTACCCTAAAAGCTTCCTTTCAGCTTCTTTTTAATGTAACAGCCGCTGTCTGATCAAATAGTGGGATTTATGGACTGCAATAGCAGCCATAAATCCCCACTATTTGACCAGACAGCGGTTCTCATTAATAAAGTCGTAACCGTGCGCCGATATTGGTATGTATAATCCAACTTTACTACTTTTCCTCACAATCGATTAATTGTAGCTAAACTAAAATATTATACTCTACAAACATACAAACAGTCGGAACAATAGGGAGGACCGAAAAAATGCAGACTTTTGAGACGGAATTGAGCACGGGCCAGCGCTAGAAATGGTGAGCCTTCTCACTATGCAACGAGTGCTGAACAAAACTTAATCCATTCGTCACCACTCTTTCAAGGCTTCCTTGAAACATACGAAGGATAAAAGTAGGATACTAATCAAAGTAGAGGGCAGATGTGGTGCAGTGGCAAATGGCGCACTGCCACACATGCATTCACGCTGCGATCGATTCCCGGATCGGTATTCTGAGTCAACCAAGCTTCCCATCCCGTTGCTGTCGGTTAATTGATACCAGACTCGACTAATTAACGTCAAAAGACTTCAAGTTAAAGAAAACTTGCTCTATCTCGAATAAGATTCCCAGCGATATTTCCGATCAAACCGCTGAACTCGTCAGGCTTGACGACAACCTAAAAAAGCATGTGATCATTTCTATTTTCGTAATACATCTGAAAACTGCTTTATAGCCCTGAGCGGCTTGTGATAATAAACCTTGTAGTAAATTTTGGGAGCAGCACATTACCTTTTGGATAGTCTCTTCATCACCCATGGTTTCTGGATTTGTTTGAGCGTTTGTGACGGTCGCCTTCTGGTAGTGTTCGTCTTTTTCAACGGCTTGATCGTCGTCTGAAATAGGCCAAAATCAAACAGAGAAACTGCTACTTTTGAAATGAATCAGAGCATGTCAGAAGCAAGATTCAACAAGCTTATTTTTCCAGCGAGGGGAACATAAACGAGGATGGAAGGATCAGGATCCTTCGCGCTATAGAAAAGCCTTAAAAATGCAGTAAAAAATTATCACAGTAATTGCATTCATTTAAAAACAGTAGCATATTCAGAGTCAAGTAAGAGGTGTACGTCAACGATACTTATCATGGTTGAAGTACCAAATATGGCTGGAACACTTAAAAAGCTCAACGGAATCATGTTTAACAGTGTTTGGAAGTATCTATGTAGGTGAAACAATATGAATTGGTCCTTTGCAAAAAAAAATCAGTCTTGAAATCAAAAATAAAAATTTCATTATGAAAATTGGAGTAAATGATTTTTTAGGGAACCTATTAATTTCAGTTAAGATTGAAGGAAGTCCGAAAGATAAGAGTGGGTACCGAAAGAAAGAAGGAAATCAGAAAAACCTTTGAAAAAAGCGAGACCGGACTTACTGCCGTACATCATATCACCTCACAAGAAACTATTGTAACAGGTTCCAATAATGCTTGGAACGCCGGCTTGCCAGCCCCTTGTCATGTCGTTATACAAAATTGTTCATGGAGGCAAAATCATGGTTCAAACATCTAATGATTGTCAGTTCTGCTCCCTTTTTTAAACTGCCCGAGTTGAAAAGCAATTTCGAACGCCATCTGGGAAGCGGAAGAAAGCTCAATGCAATGCACTCGTTGAAGACAAGAAAGCAGCTCACTTCATATCGCATCATTTCCGCATTTTTCGCAAAATTTCTAATTTTTTGTATGAGAACAATATATATTTTAGTTTGATTTCGTTCAGACTTCGAAAAGATACGAAAATATGAGTTGAATCTTGAAACTTGGTAAAAGGAGTAAGATAAAAAAGAAACACATCGCTGGTACTAATAACTCAGCATTGCAGCGTTGTAGCAATCGTTTGCAGTTCTATTGAAGATTAATGTGCTAGCAAAACTGGATTGATAGAGAACGAACAATAACAGCAAACAGGATGGAAGTACTGACTGAAAGTGTCCAACCCTACACTTGATTGACTAGTTATCAAGAACACCTCACACTATTTCGACTAGATAAAACCTGCGTTACCCTGGTAACACCGAATTTGAGAGAACATTAATTCAAAGAACCCAAATATAAGGGACCCAAAGAAATCAGTAGAACCAGAGAGAGCCTGTCTGTTCGAAGTGAAAAAGATCTTCGTCACCTTCATCGATTTAGAATAGAAAATTCAAACCATGACAACAGAAGAGGTGGAGCCAACGTTGCGGAGGTGGCAACACAAGTAGAACGGGTCGAAGAGACAACTGGCTTTCCAACAGAGTGTAATGAACAATTAAGGTGTCTCTTTCATCAACCACTCCGATTGCGCCTTTATATCATCTCAGCCTCAATCTTTGAACAAGTTAGTAAAAAGGGTTCGGATACATTAGAAAACGGCAAGGTCAGCGGACGGCGGAGTTGGGAAAGTTATAAGGAATGCTGCGACTACTGACGTAAAGCATGCACCTAAGCTTTACAATTGAACCAGTTGAGCCTTCCATTGTCCTAGAAATCGTTGCTTTGATGTAACGTTATGAGTTTGTGTATGAGTAAGAGATCATTACGGGGAGAGAAGATAAAATCATGTGGACCAATCGCCCCACCGATCCAAACTATGCAGGTATCTCATGGAAAATCTAACTAATTGCGCATCCGAAACCATCACTAATGAATGGCGGTATCTTTGTTTTTCTTATCAGGTAAAAAGTCAAACAAATTGTGAGACAGCTCCACGCGTGCTACACGTACATAACTAATTGGACGCATTGTGTAATCAAAATCAGACAATGAAATAATTGGTAATGTTGATCACTTGCATAGCTTGCTGGATAAGGAACTCCAACCTCAAGAGACCTTCCTCCCACAGCGTTTGCGCTTCTTTCTATCAGAAGGGTATGACACACATTCAAATACCGTAGAGGAAACAGGAGTAAACCATTGCTGGGAAACTTTTGAAGCATAAAAAGAACTAGGAAACCAGATGTGGAACCTGACCCTGACGTTTCATGAAAAATTAAATGAGTCACAGATTCTATGCAAAATCGAGCTATCATTGCTTTTGAATTCGTGCAGTGATTGTTGTCTGTCCCCGGCATAATTTTGGAAAAAGTTCAAATCTATGGTAGAGACCATACAAAGAGCAGATTAGTTGGCAGCGCATACATCAATACACGAAAACCATTCAAAGAAAAATGTCAAAACCGAGTACACTACAAATGATTGTAAATCTTTCTGAAGTTATTAAATTGCAGTTGAACAAAGCATGATGGAAAGACAAACGACTGGACAAACGGGCGATCCTATCGCCTAAAAGGCTACCTCCTCGAAGGAAATCCAATACTACCAGTCGCAAACATTTCAATAGAACTACGGATATAATCATCTACTTTGCCTGCTCTCGGAGGAAGACGGTCGAGTGCGAACTACCAGTGACTCCTCTGGACAATAATGTTTTCGCCATTTTAAGAAATATTCAATGAATTCGATCCCAGACGACGAATTTTGTTTTTGTCATCAGCCCATAAAATAATTAAAGAATATAGGCCATAGTTAAGGTTCCATTCCCAAAGGGCATTGGAAAAGCCCTCTAAATCTATCGCCTCGATGCTTTCCTACTTCACAGGCAACATGAAGATTTTACAGCGTAACACATTCGCTGTTCCTTCTATCAATTCTAAAAATCCGTCAACTTTTTCGGCTTCGCAGGATCACATGTGCCACTGAATACATGATAAAACACATACACCCCGACTGACACATGCAAATTTCGAATGGCAAAAACAATAAAGGAATTCATATAAATGAAATAGATCTTATTCAATTTTTCTTATAAATTTACGATTCTGTCAGAACAGTATAAAATTGACTGGTCAGCTTAAATGTGAGTTCTAGCTTCCAAAACGACGCTAAGTGCTAGTTGAGGAATCAGCCTGGCACATAGGGGAATCGATAAGAGCAGTGCTTCGAGGTTAACGTCAAGCCATGTTTTTGGGTATACGCAAAAATGCTGGACTCATTTCACTAATGAGGTCGATCTCAGAATATCTCCGAAAACAGTGAAGTTATTTATATTTATCAAAGAGAGGTTTTGAAGAAATGATGCGTGTAGTACCAATGGAACTCCAAAAAAGGCTTCCGCTTTATTCTCCCCGATGGACTAAATGCCCTGAAAACCTACGTTGAAGATAGAAAGGGCTGTGTAAATATGACTACTACAAACTTTTTTCCTAGTTGGTTGGAGTCCAATCACCACGTTTGTATCGCATTATTTCGGTTCTAATTTCTGAAGACAAAACAACCGCAAAGAGACATAGCGAGAAGAACGCCTTCTTTATTTTTTCCTTTTATAGCAAAGCTTTCACAACTACTATTAAACCCACGTCATTCTTTCGCAATATCCCTTAGGGATATTGGTGATTGCAATGAGTCACACACTACTATCATCATAGGCTCAGCTACATTAGAGCTGAAAATAGCTGCTTTGGTTCAGCACGTCGAAAAATGACTCAGCCAACAACGCCATGCGGATGGTTTATTCATAAGCGTTCAATTACAATGAGAAGCTCTAGAGAGTTTGGCTTCTCCTGTACTGAAACCGTTGATGGTTCGAGTAATTCTGGATGCTCATCGTTACAGCAAAAGAGAAATAATATGCTGGAATGGATCCTCATAGAGACAGCTGACTGTAATGTTTCTTGTAAAAAGAAAGTGCGAGAATTTGAAAGGCTTCAAGGAAAAATCTCAAAAACTTACGCTAGAGCCAATTATCCCGATGTTAAATGAGCACAGCAGAGTAGCAGGATTTTTCCACAAAATTCTTCTATGATTCTAAGAAACACTGAACTTTGAGGCAAATTCTTTCGATTGAACTTCCGCCCATGTCTTACTTACGAAAAGGGTGCAGCCCCTAGCAGAGAAGACTCGCCAGCCACAGATTTTGTAGACGGCTAGGAAATAAACTAGATGCCAGCAGTGTGAAACCATTCAATCCACATGTGAATCATTGACAGCCATGCTTTTCTTGTCAAGCTGAGGGTTATCCTATCTACTACTAACCTCATCTTTATTGAACTTTTGACAAGCTGCTTTTGCTGCCCCTTACCATAAGCTGCTGGAGAGAGAAACGTTTAGTGAGAATGATTCAATATTAAAATCGGGGAAGAATAAACCCTCAGACCCTCAATTGGTAGCAAACTCGCTGAGAAAATTAAAACACAGACTTGATAACCGAGGGAGCATTAAAGTCAAGCACGAAGTCAGTCAGTCCATACTGGTACTCTTCAACAACAGCCATGGTTCAACCCTACATTCAAAGCAGCCCACGAAATTCCAGAATTCGACAAAAACACTCTCACAATGTGAATTGTAAAAATAAAAATGTTGGCTGCCTCTATAAAGTTTTTTCTTTTGAACACACTTCATTGCATTAGGAATGCACAAAAAAAACGAGGTCGCGTACACACAGCTTTCCGAAGTGAATACTGAACACGAAATGGAGCAAAAGCGCACGGTTGAGAACCGCATTAGAGGGAAGCTATCTTGCGTCTTTTGCACTCGCTGTTGAGAACTCATTTCTAGGCTTTTGAGCAAGCCCCAATTCATTTGAAAGAAGACTCAGTTTCGGTCTCGTACTTGGGACAACCATTATTCGCCACTACTAGATTAAGTTTTCCCTCAGTGATTGCTGAAGCATCGATAACAGCCGCACTAATCCATGAGGCAGCTGTTTCCCACCAGATCACTACTAGTTTAAGACAAATTCGCAGAAGTTTAAGTAAACCAGAAAACAGCAGCTGGGCTGGAGGAAACGTAATCAACAAGAATTGATCAAACAGAGTGGGCTTATTGATGAGGTGTACGAGCCGTCATGGAATGTGAACGGGCATACGAATTTATTCGAAGGAAGTGAAATCCATGGAAAAAATTTTTTGAAGTTCATATTATATCACATTGTATCGGAGAATGATTCTCAAATCATGACAACCAAACTACGATATAACAACTTTTCACCGAAATGCATTCAATTCGTCGAAAGGTGTTTCTGTTGAAAAGGCGCATAGATGAAGTTGTTGATGAGTTAGTCTCAGTGGACCTGGATTAGCTCAAGTAAGTGAAGACATCAATCTAAGAAAAATGGTGCTAATAGTAGAAGATTAAAGAGCATTTAGGGCATTTCTTGTTCGAGGCTAATAATGAGAGCGATGTTATTTATATGCCTTTTTTCGCTAGAAAATATTGACATTAAAATTGTTTAAATCGCTCTGGTTTGTATAAATTATGATGCCATGCAAGTATTAAGCTAGTATCGAAATGATATTTTATTTAACCATTCAATTTTTTGTTTGTTGGTTCAATTAATTGGAGAAACATGTGATCAAATAAATAAATAGTTTTTATTATAATTAAACTAAAACATGTCCAGATGAAACAAGGCGAAGTCTGTAACAAAGTCAGGAGAATAAAGTGAGAACGTGGACCAGAAACCTAGAATACGAACGAGCTCAGGTGAGAAATAAAAATAAAATATTAATATCAGAAAAGAGAGAAATACTAAATCAGCTCCCAAAGAAGCAAGTTGAAGCACCAAAGAAACTTTCCCAATATCCAGCCGGCAGTACGAGGGGAAAACAGAATGGCAGTCACAAATAAATTTTATAGAGTAGAAAATCTTCTGTTTGCCCTATTTTTGCAAAAAAAAAACCCAAAATAGAGGGTTCCAATAGTATAAATGAAAGTGTCGTTTATATCGAAAGCAACTTGCAGATTCAACCACTAGTTTGCGAACAGACCTGGTCCCTAATCCCCCGTTACACATGAACAAAAAACAGTGAGTGAATCATGCAGCAACGTAAAAAGAGGTCTGAAGCGGAATTCCACCGCCGAATTATCGAACACGATAGTTTGGATGGTTTCATTTTTCTCCTCAGTCAACAACAACTCCAGGCCTTCTTGATTTCCTAACCAAAATGAGGACTGCATTAGCAGACTTGCGAACCTCGCAGAGAGATGGCAATGTAATTGAAAATGCCGAGCTCCCAAGCACGGAACGCGGAAACCCTGCCAAAAATGTATCTAAGCCACTATAGAGACTGTTTCTGATTTTAATAAAATCGATCTTGCGCCACTGTTTCCCCCACATTATTGGAAGATGCAGCTAAGCTTACTAAAGAAACATACAGCTGGATTTTTTGAAGAAAACCTAAGCCTTCTTAATCAGTAACTTTCCATCAGTAGTGGCAGTATTTGTGCTGATGAATAAATCAAGGCTTCTCTCCAACATCATGGAATGAACTCTCATTAATGCAAATCTCATAGAGCATATCAATCTTCGTGACCTTTTAATTTAAATTTTCGAGCTCGGTCCAAAAACTTCTGGTTTTTTCTTCTTCAAGTGTTTTCTCTAAATCGACTCCTCTTCTCCCAGAAAGAAAGAAATTCAAAAAATATTGAAAAAAAGAGCAGCATTGCGATAACCCTAGAGAGCTACACTATATTCGGCAAATGCCAGCAAAAACTCTTGAGAGAGAAACTACTGAATCTGATTCTTATCATTTTTAGCGAACTGATACAAAATCGAGAAAAGAGAAAAGTTTTTCGAACAATATCACCAACTAATCCAAAAAACTTGCACGAATCCCTATGAAGCTCCTTAAATAATCTCCAATTTACAATAACTCGTTCTACATGAATTTGAAGCTGTATAGCAAGCAGGGAACTCAAGTGTCAGAGAACTTGGTTGAATTTTCTGCGGCTAATGACTTTCGTCAAAAACTGCACTAACAACACCCTTAAAAAATTCTCACGATTCGATGGCGTGAATGCTAAAACTTCTTTCAGAACATCAGCTTACGGTCAATATCTGTTTGACTAGTTTCGTAAAATAGCAGGAAGATAAAGGACAGCGTAGATTGAGTCCGAACAAAGTCGCAGTTCGGAAAGAGGGTGTCCCAACAGCGGATGCAGAATGTTTCGAATCGATCGCATTGCAAAAACATCGCCTGACCAGCTGTTTTCTCACTCACTACGTCCCTGTGCCATAGCAACACAAATAGTAGACCAAAATCTCTATTAAAGTAGGCTAACAGGTTAAATTGGAGAATATAGACGTTTTCTGAAACTGCACACTGCAAACTGTCGGGAAACCTATCCACCAATCACATCTTTACAAAGTCCGAAAAAGAAGAAAGCTGCACGTATTTACAGAAAAACTGCAATAAACAAGGAATGAGCTGTTAAAGAGGCAGGAGGAAAGGCTGCGTTGGGAGGAGGGTGCAATGTTCAAACGACAACGTCGCCCCATGAGAGCTAATAGCCTTCGCATATGATGGACAGAGAAAGAACCATAAAAAGCAGATGGAATAAACATGAACTCTTCCCCATACGCTTCCCACACGGACTGTGCATACTGTGTAGTAAAATGGAGAATGTAATTACAGAACATAAGGAAAGAAACTAGAGACTTAAGGTTGGAAAGTAAACTTCAGAAATATGAAAACTCAACAGAACGTAAAACAAATTCTGTCATGAGGTACAACAGAAGAGAAGGAAAAAGAATGACCGATTCAGAAGTGATTTTACATTTCTTTAACATTAACACTTTTACATTTTACCTCTGGTGCCATAATCAGCATTCAACCACTTCAGCTTTGACTTCTCTATGAGGAGACTTAAGGAATCTCTCGTAATCGACTTTAGGAGTTTAAGGGTTTTACTATGTTTACCATATGTGTAAGGCTTTGAGGGAGCAAATTGACATTGAAGAAGCTATCCTTGTAATCAAGATTATTTGCACCTGAACGCTTGCTTCTGACCAACTTGTTGCTGTAGATTGGTGAGCTAATAATTCCCCAGCCATTTCAACCTTGAAATAGGTGCAAACACTGAAACGGCCTTTAATCACGCACTTAGACTGATTAGGTTCGGTTGATCCCATTAACAATTAGCTTGGACAGGTCATTTACCTGACATTTCTGAAAATTCTGTGCCATTCTTAGTTCGATAATCAGCAACGCCAAAGCAAAATGTTTTGCGCTATAAAAAAGGCGGATAAGAAAGAGAAAAAGTTCTAAACTGTTCTTCGTGAAGAGGTGACAGTTAAATAGGAGGCAGATGACATACAAAAACGCTATCGTTCTGAGAAGAACATAGGAATGTTTCACACGTCTTTGAGTTCTGAAAGCTAAACGGTACTCCTTCCTCACACGAGTCACACGATAGGAATGAAATTTCCTCGATCATTCCGCTCTACTTCAGATTCCACGCAAAAAAGGCGAACCTTTGTCGAATCATAAGGAACACAAACCTGCATACTGAGTCACAATGTAGAAGGTATTGAATAATGTAAAGGTACACTAACAACGGTCGAGGGCGAATTTTCGCTATTCAGCTCCACTAACACTTCGAAAAATGGACCGATTACAGCCACACACTCGATACATTTTTCTCAACAGTGGGCCTAACATTTCTCAGCGATGTAGGTCCACTGACAGCGGCAGAATCTTGGTCTCCGGGTAAGGGGGACATTTTTGGGTTCCACCAAACAAAAAAGCGTCACGACATAACCCACTACATACTAGTGCTTTGCAAATGTAAAAGACCAGGAAAAATCGTATGTGAAAAGTAAACAAAACTAGAGAAAACAGATCAAAATGAGTATTGCAACAGTGTCCATAGTAAATCACTGAACAAGTGTGTTCTCCGCTGTTACCTTGAACTGGTGCCACCTTTCCGCCCCTCGATTGTATGGCGAATAGACCTCTCACTTGTTACAGAGGGTACAAAGAACAGTTCAGTCAGAAAAGCTACAACGCTGTCGTAGTTGAGCATATGAAAACCTTTGAACCGGTTTGAATAATGCAAAAAAGAAACTTTGTGATCAACAACCAGATAATGATGAAAAAACCAAAAACGTCTTCAACCGCTACCCCTGTTGCATGAGTCTGTGTGGGGAAGAACTTCGAAAGTAAAAGCCTATCAATGATGGTAATTTAAAAATATTGTAAGTAACATTTCAAAAATTTTTTCGCATTGTTCACGCTCCTTTCAGTTTGTTTGACTTTGTTTTTTTCTTGTTTTGAAACATCCACTCTCTCGATTTGAATAATTATGGCCGATGTTGCATGAATCTGAGAAAATTTGAAGTGACCGTGTCCTGAGTTTCTTGATGTAGTCCACAATTGACGGACCTTAACCGAGTTGTCAAGGTACGACACACACTCTAGGATAGGATGACAGGTTACACTCCGCATTTACCAGCAATTTTCGGGTTAGCCGCCAAGTTAAGTAAAACTTAAAAATTTCCAAAAATTCCCTCGCATGAAGAGAAGTATTAGCTCCGAAAGGGTCATCATTGCGAATTCGTCTCGAACTTTTTACAGCTAATTGACTTGTTCGTCTGCATTCCCTTGGGAGTTACTAATGTCATCAGATTGTCGATTAAAGGTACCAGAAGTTTACATACCAATATAATACTTCGAAAGATGCGCTTTGTCCCGTAGTTAAATATCAATTCTCGGCTGGCTCCAAGAATAATGGCCAAAGAAAATTGCCTCAGTGACGAAATCGATATGACACAACGCTCAACCATCGGCGACATTGCTAGGGAGTGAATTCGAAATGAGGGTTTGACAAAACCATACTCAGATCCCGCTAGCAAAGCCCCGAGTTAGTACAGAAAAGAGCAATGACCATCGAGACCGCACCTTAATCAAACATTAGGAATCCATTTGTTAAATTGGTCCTCGACAAATAGTTAATACTCTTAAAAGCTACAAAAAGGATATTGGCTAAACGGGTGAATTAAAAAAGGGTATTCTTCGTTGACAAAATCGCAGAAGTCCATATAAATAAAAGTATACAAGAAAGCAGATCATAAGTGCAAATCAAATAAAAAGAAAACGAATAAGGGTAAAACTCACTACATCCGCAGCACGTTAGCATGTTCACGAGGCAGGCAGTCAGTGGCAGGTAGAGGAGTTCGTAAACAGTAAGAGTCGGTTGATGATACAGATCAAATGTGAATACTATATACTATACAATAATTGATGTACTTAAAGGCAGTGGGCGCGAAAAACACTTCATGGGCACACTTGCGGACATATGCCTTTAAAAAAGGTTCCGCAGCTGCCAAGTTAGATGTTGTGAGACGTAGGATGAATTTACAGGGAATTAAGCTACCTATGAAAGCGAAAGTAACGAGACGTATCTTTCCTACTCATCGTCATTCCCTCCCTTCCATTCACCTCCATAGAAATGGACCATGGGTGAAAGTACAGCGGTGGAAATAACACTTAGGCGAGCTTTGGAATGGATGTTGTAGAGAGATGAATAAGTAGGACTTTGCTCAAACGTAAAGTTCTTTTGACAAATTTCTAAAATCAGCGCCAACGTTTTCTATTCCTATGATAGTCACGAGCCAAAATACCGGTAATAAAAAGAGATGAAAGTAAAAAATGGAGGCTAAAAAAGGTTAATGGGAGGGTCCCTGGGGTGTCAGTTTTTCTTAGTTGATGGTCTAGAGAGCCCGTTAACCTAACATCAAACTCTCGCGCTCGCTGCCTTCAAGTAACTTGGACCAGGCTCTAAATAGAAGGAAAGGAAAATCGCTTGATGTTGAACGAGGGCAATGAGTATCAGCAGCAACCAATAGCGCGTCTTTTGTTAGCAGCTTGGGGGCGGACAAGAAACAACGTCGGCAGCAGCGCTGACCGCTAATTATTTCTCGATAACTCACTGCTAAACTATTGCAAGCTGCTCGTGAGAATGTCTAAAAATAGACTCTGTTTTCACTGGCTTCGGCAACTGGATGCAGTTGACAGTGCCACCGCTCAGAGCATCTGGTGAACCAACGGAATCTGAGACTTCTTTTCGCCATTACAGTGCTTTTCTTTTCGATGAGAATCAGATCAAAAGCCTCAATCAATTAAAGGTTGTAAAAAGAAGAAATAAACGATCTGAGAGAAGACAAAAATGCCCTCTATCCTAGTTTTCTTAACATAAATACGCCAAAGACTGTATCCCTGAAGAATAGATACACTGCACTTCTGCCTCTCCCTTGAGCTCCCTTGCAAAAGTCACAGACGATGCCTCAATGAACATTTGAACATTACGACAATGACGAAAACACACCAATGAGCGCATTCGTAGTGGGAGCCCTCATGCGACGCCAACGTTGGCGTCATAAAGTCTGCGTATTCCTACCTTCCACCTTGCAGTCAAAAAACAAGTTTTACACCAAAATCTTTCCCTTTTACCCGTTTGCTATAAGCCCACACAGCTGCAGCATGAGTCACCTACTTGCGAAGTATTGACAGACGGTCACCATCGACGTCGAAGTTATGATACCGGTACTATGAATGCACCCAATTGTTCGTTTTTAGGGATGTCTCAGAGGACTCAGAGGAATGAATTGAAATAATACTTCAGCTTGTGTTCTGAGTTAGAGAAATGCAGGAAGCGATGGAACGATAACGCCATCCATTTTCTGCATTTTTCTATCTCAGAACATAGGATGCAAGTTATTACGAACCCAAATAAATGAAAAGCTGCAGAGGTAAGAAAACTGAGAAGAAAAGCAAAGGAAAATTTATATTTTCAGAACAATTAGGCTCCTTTTCTGTAACCAGCAGTATCACGAGCCTCACAAGATGAGCTCCTCGAAAAACAAGAAAGAGAGCCTCATAAGTGTTCCAACTAGGCATAGTATACCTTTCACCTCGGTTCAGACCCTGTCACTCAAGCACCTACTAAATTTCAAGAAGAAAATAGACTCGCATCAGACGTTGGCTTCAAAATAACACTAAATAAATTGTGTTTGTACAATTGAGATTATCTTGTAAAATCTGCTCAATTCATATAGTTCGACTTCTGGAGCCTGCGAAAAATGCGTTTTTACCCCAGTATTTGCCTTTCCATTATAGTCATCTACAAGAAATAGGCAAAGCAAGCAATAAATCCATCCACCGCATGCCACATTTCAGACATTTACGATGTTAGAAAATTCATGAGCATTCATTCAACTAAAACCATTATTGGCTATTTTTCAACATTTGCACGCCATGCTGGTGAGCCAATAACTGAAAAATGATGTAAACACCAGCGACCCACAAGACAACTACCGGAACTCGGTGCAAAGAAAGAAAATGCCAAACTTCCAGCTAGCTTCACCTTAAAACAAATCAGAAATCTACATAAAAAGGTCAGAATAAAGTTAAGTAATGTTTTATCACAGCTAAAAGAGAGGTTCCAAGACGAGGAATAGAATTCAGTGAGAAAAGTAACAGAAACAGATCAACAACACATAAAAGTTCGAGTGGTGATAACCACCAGAGAGAGAGCGATAAGATTACAACGTAGGCGCTGTCGAGAATGATCCAAGAACGGAAAGTGACAGTATGTATACGTTGCGGAACCTACTGAAGTGAAAAGGTAAACACTGCAGATTTGGATAACACAATGAAAGCAGGTTGATTAGATAAAAGAGGAGCAGAGCACATTGTATTGGCAGTCAAAATCATTACCGACTGCGCATTTGGACAAACCTGTTTGGAAGATGAGGCACTATTTAACTTGAATGTTAATTGTCCCAGCAATCTACAGTACAACTGGCTTTGATTGATTCAAGTTCACTCGAAGGATCAGTAGGATCAAGAACTTGATGTGCGCGACATACTATTCGTAAAAACGAAGACTGTAATAAAGTCGTTGAGTTCCCGAACCTAGCAGTCCGAGGCAGAGGCATCCCACCACAAAATCGATCAATAATATAGCTTCAAATTATTGGTATAACGGAGACAGGCTCGAATTTATTGTATGTGAATTGACAATGCTATGGGTCATCCCATCTATCCCATCACATTCTGTAAGGCAAGGCTAGCTGGAAGTCGAGAGAGATTTTCCATCCTGTGAATGGAAAGGAACGCGAGAGGACCTATGGATTAATAATTCCCAAATACTTTCCCTCAGTTTACAACGAACTCCACCGCTTCATTCCTAAGTGAATTCATATTTAATCGCACGATCTATAAAGTTTTTCCTTGCTCTAGTTCGACTTTTTGTGGTAAAGTTTTGCAGCAGAATTTGACAGATTGCTGCCATCTGCAACGAGTTCAGCCGTATTCCGGTTTTGTAAGATTGCCATGATTCCATACAGGAGGAACTATGAATGGCTCAGTGGTACTGGGTGTCACAATAGTACACAACATCGCTGTCACGTAGCAATGAATTCAAAAGAATAATGGAAACCGGTGTCCAAACGGAAGGGGTAAGACATAGTCATCAAGAACAAAAAAGTTGGAGGTATACGACTTCCTTCAAATAAAAATTTTCGAGAAGGACTCTTTCTCTGCATGGAGTTAGGACCAGATAATTCAAGTCAAAGTCCTAAGCTAAAACCTAGGGTAGAACTCTTTAACTTTCGGTTACTACAAGCCAAGAACGAACACACCATTGAAATATGAATTTAGAAAGATTGACATGGAGGAATGGTGTGGATCTGAACTTGAAAGTCGTATGCGACCTCGAACTAACACGCAAAAAAGATATGATGGGGGACAGCCAGGCTGTGAACGACGAATACTAAAAGCATTCGGCTGCATGAAGAACGACAGCCCCCTGCTGAACATCTCGATGTTGTCCCATGACTCAATAATTTCAATACTTGAGCACGAGGTTGGAGGGCGTTTTCTATGCCGAAATACTGGACTTTGGTAGAATAGCCACCCAATAGCCATATTCAAGCATTCAGGCACAGATTTCTTCGAACTCGCTCTACAAGACGGTCGCTGGACAGATAGCGGAAAAGCTTGGCGATATTTTTTTAGAAGCTCAAGCAACAAGGAAGTAGAATGTTAGCGCTAATTATATATTATCCAGTGCCAGTACGAGAAGATATGAAATTGATAATATTAGGTGCAAAACAAAACAGAAGCATCAGCAAGCCGTAACCATATCCTTCACAAATATAAAAAGTAAATAAAAAATAAAAAAAANAAAAAAAATGAAAATAAAAAACACTAACCCAATAAATTTGCCTAAACCCAATGAACTTGCCCAGAAAATTACTTTCTAGCAGGCTTTTACCTGAATGTTTTAGCCGCTTTGCAACGAATTTTTTCGCACAATTGAAGACTAAGGATAAAATAAAAAACAACACCAACTTATTGAAATCCATATGAAAAATGAGATACAGAAGAAATAGTAAAAATCACTAGGCTTCCATGTCCTGAAGATTATTCTCGAAGAATAAAAGCTCGATTACATATCCTGTTCACATTAAATCACAAAATTTTTTAATTCAGTAACAAGAAATCTAGGCGAAATGATGATACGAAGGTGACTGGTGTGGATGGATGTTGAAGGATATAATTCACTACGCGCCAGATGCTACTTGTTTACAACAAAGATAGGGCTATTAAGCCGGGAAATAGCAAATCTTCACAGCTGGATATCAGGGAAGACACATGCGTGAGCAACCATGGTCAGATGGTGAAATTCTAAATGGCATGGCAAATCCCTTTAAATGAGAATTCAACCTTCCCTTTGAAGGTCTGCAGTCTCTGATGGAAAAGCGCTGTTTCTATTTTGAAGGTTGAATAAAGCTGATTCAGTAATGTTTGCAGAGTCGAAGAAAGTCGGAAAACGAGGTTCATTTTGCAAAAAAAGAAACTTCGGAAACGCCCGATGTTTGCAGATTCACGCAAGGGGACAAGGACAGTTGTGTTTGTGTAAAGTTCAATTACGATGCGCCCCGTTGCAATGAATTAACCTGCGCTGGAAGTACACTTGAAACGTTGGGGAATAAAGCACATTGAGGCATTTCAGCAAATCCATCAAGGTGTCCCAAGAAACAATGGTCCAATAGGTGGGTAACTTGCCTGAGCTATACACCCACAGGGAAAAGTTTGGTTCCATGCTCCTATGTTTTGCCTTCACATTCCTCACTGCCACACATTGTTATGCCCATGCGCATCAGGTTGTGCAAATAAAAGAATAAAGTAAGTAAATATTGACGAGTCATTTCAAAATTCTGTACTTGACGATCTTCGCTCTACCCGACGAGGCTTCGGCCAAGGTCAGAACTTGCAGAAGGGAACTTTCTCCCAAATAATAGCCATCGATTTACACGGAATCCAGCTCAAATGTGTTAACAAATGTCCTATCGGAATCTTCAATAGCTTCAATGCAGACATAAACTGTTTTTTCCATTTTTATCTTTAAATCGCCCCACCTGTTCCTCCATATCCAAAGATGAAATGTCAGCAAAGGAAAAAGTTCCTTTAGTGACTTTTCTCTTATCTTTTAAGCACAGAACTTATTTCCGCTCAACATTCTCACTCAGACAGAACAATCGAATTCAATAATATAGAATAGTCAATGATGATCAATTTTCACAAAATCGAGGAGAAAAAAAATCATAAAAGAACAATTACTGCAAGATTCGCTTATAAAACGGATTTATAAAACATAGCACGCTTTAGAAGGATTGGAAGTAAATAGAAAAAGCTGGAAATTCAAAATCAGCTGATGGCACAAAACCAATTGACCCACGGACAAAGGGTCGAGGGCAGCCGCGGAAAGCCGCCTACGCTCAGGTGGCGAGTTTTCAAAAATGCCGCGAAAACCGACCGTAATATTTACTTGACCAACCTAGGTAACCTGATTTTAATGGGTTCAATCGAGAAATCTGTGCACCTCATGCATTATTTTTTTCTATAGTATTTTTATTACTATTACTGTTATTATTATTGCTTGTATTGTTGCCATCTTTATTTTCCCTTACAGGAACGAAAATTCAGTCCGGCACTCGGTTCTTACAGTAATCCGGCACGTGTTAATACGCATATTTTTACCCGTCACATATACGACGCGTCAAAAAGGGGCTTTGGGCAAGGACACGGGGGACACGGGGGTGGGTGGTGGGGTAAGCCAGGGGGTTACTGTAAGAACCGAGTGCCGGACTGAATTTTCATCTTGTTTTTTCCCTTAGGTTTCCATTGTAGCTGTAAAATATGATATTACCATATCTGCTGTCACTTTCTTATGTTATCATCTCATCATAAAACGAATTGATGATGGGTTTTCAGCTCGATGTTCCGCGAAAACTCTGCAATAAAATGTCTCCAGCTAAATAGATAAGCAGAATCAACTACGTACATGGCAGAATGATTTGGAAACTACGCTTGCAAAGGTTAGTTAATGAAAATTGCTGCGAAATTTTAAGGAAGAAGAACGTCGAAGACTTCGCAATCCATTTATAGCCCCATAATTCTACCCTAACCCACTAGAGAAAAAAACGAAATTTGAATTACGTCATTCCTGTAGTTGTCATGGTAGCGTAACTTGGGGACAAACTTGGGGATAAATCTGAATCAGTAAGTGCGGTCAAAGGTGTCCGTAATAGCCAGAAATCAATTGTGAGAACAGGAATAACACGCCCCTTCAGTTGTAATTTAGGATGATAACGGAAAGTAATCGTCTCAGTAACAGTCATGTTAGTAATGCAACAAACAAGTATTACGTAAGTGAAAAATCGAAGTTCCTTCTTTTAAAATAGAATCTCCACTCCTACTCAAAGCCATAGAATCTTCAGCATGACGATTTTTATTGTTTCAAAGAGTGCTGTGTGGAAGATATTAATAGCACTACCTGTCAAAATACTTTGAAGGATCACGTTTTTCAAATCAGACGTCATTCGTCAAATGACCATTAAAAGAAGTAAATGTTATTGCAAGTCTGGTTTACACAGTTACATAGGAATGCAGCAGGCTGGTGTCGTATCAAACCAGAGAGCTGGCAATTCACCATCGCAACGTCTAGCGAAACGGCATTCATTACAGAAAAAAAGCTCGAAAAGAGCGGAGAGAGAAATCATTCTTTTCCTCAAGACGACGATCAAAACGTATTTTCTAAGCAACCGGTAGAATCCAGCCAAATCAGCACAAAGAGATTTGGTCCAAAAAAAAGAACATTTTGGAATTGACCACATTTCGTTGAAGGTCTATGTGGGCTAAAAAGTCTTATGTTTAACCACGAGAAGTTTGACCAGAAATTCCGAACAAAATGCCTAGGAACTACGAAAGTTCCAGCTTTTTACGCCTTCGGCACTATCGATTCACGGAGGTAATTCATGACAGAATGAAATATGGCATGCATGAGTGTTCTTTGGAAAGTACCGTATTCCGGCTGAAGTCAAATGCACCGTGACTGTACATAGATACCTCTTAAACAAGTCAGTGATGACATACCGGAATCCGACCTATTTCTGAACTCACTTTCTGCGGAATAACGACTTAAATATCTGAAAAATTGAAAGAGTTCAAGTGCTGATCGTTGACGTTTGGCAAATGGGGGGCTATTTTGACTATTCCGCCGCTCCCCGCTTGTAATGGACTCATCGACACAAACTTCGCTTCCCTTATGAAGCCTTCATTCTCATCGGACAACTCTGACTTTGTGAAGGTTCGTAAAAAAAAGATTTATTTTGCTAAAAATGCTGGCGACCTTCTGTACAGCTAGTCTAGGCACACAAAAATTTACGAATCAACCTGAGTATCATATTGTATTGGTCCTATAGAACATGGTTATTCAGTGTTCTATAGGACCAATGGAACCTGGAGCCCTCAGTTGACAGAGAAATGTCTTGTACCTTCGGATTAGGGTAAAGTAGTATTTGTTCGGTCATTCTGACGAATTACTCTCGCATAGATAATCAAAGCACTTAACGAGATAGAAATCATTGTTACCACGTCTTCATAAGTAGAATTCAGCTCTATCACCATCTGAGAGAACAAGAGATGTTGAGAAGGTCTACTACCAATAATTGTTCCGCTTTTCGATATAGCTACTTTACACGTAAATTCTGTTTTCATTAGGGGTTTAACAAAGATGTAGTGATGAAAGAGCGAAATGAATTAGTTTTATTCGATTTAGGTCCTCACAGAACCAGTGGCCTTGCTTCTGCAGTTTTGAGTAAATTTATAGAGTCAAGTCAAGTGCTCATTCACACTTATTCATTCAATGACGATGTCAATCTTCAAGAGTCGGTTTACAACCCCAATCTCTGATGATTCACAGCTTAAAAACTCATGACTAGTTGATAAGAGTCGTCATATGTAAACAGTACAAGAAATTTCGGAGATAAAATGAATATTTAGACAACAAATGAATCATTTTCTTTTGATTCTCTACAAAAGCTAGACAGTTATCTCGGTTTTGAGGTATTACAATGGCTTGTCAATCAAATTTGAGCAACCATCAAATCTAGGTCAAATCTAGGTAATAATGGGTGAGTCATCAGAAGAGAAAGCCAAAATCAATTCGGGGAGCCCACATCGAACTGCACACATCTTTCTCCACCTAGTAGTGTGCCAGGTGCCAGCGCGACCGGTTCAACAACGGTGAGAGATTTCAAGGACGAGAGAGACGAGAGGTTCAAATCGTCTACATATCGGAGGGCTAAAAAGGAAGGTGACTAACAACACAAAGAACCGACCGTAGCAGCTAGATAGCAGTGAGTGGAATGGATTAAAAAAATAACTCTATCAATATTCTTACTTTCCGAGCCTTTCAAAAAAAGAGGCTGAGATGGAAAGATGAGTAATTCCTCTCTCATTTGTTTAAGAATCGAAAGATGATTAGGATACCAATGATATCTGTTCAACACATACGAACTAATGCTGTGTCAGCGGTCCCCACAAAAATGGATGCGATTTTTTCTCCGAAAAACAAAAACAAAAATCATAAAAAAGCACTATTGGCAAGTAGAAGACAACAGTGTAAGAATAACCCCAGAAAATTTATCTCGTTGAAAACCTTCAAATCATCTACCTATCAGGATAAATCCTACTCGAATCATATCGCACCAATGGCAGGGTCCTATAGTCCACGGGTTTCGGTTTGTTCCGGTTTTATTGCTTTTCTGATTGAATCGTTAACATCGTCTGTTGCGGTCGCTCATCGACTTATTTTGTTGCATTTTTCTTCTGTTGCCGTCTACATAGAATACATAATACTACATATCAATTACTTTTTTCGTTTAAATTTTACTTTCGAGTAATTGTGATTGAGCATAACTGTAAACAAAAGGCGGAAAGGCTGGAAGGCTCGTCCCAATTCAGTCATTCACAGCGTTTGCTGTAGAACTTATATCTTGTTCTTGTAAGTGACTTGAAGTGAAAATAAGACGTCAAAAGGCGGCAAACCATCTTGCTACTGATTCTGAGCCGATCAGAGAGACTCCGAAGCGAAAATAGAGCGAAAATGACAATTGGGCGAATTCTCGTCTGGTGGCATTTGGCCACTTCCAGTGATATAGTCAATTTTCAAGCATTTGCCTCCACCGAACATTTCACTGCGTCGAATTCGGTCTTATCAAATCTGACCGTGTGCAATTTATCTATAAGCTCCTCACTTTATGTGGCAGTAGAATGCTACATATAGTGAGGAGCCAGTCATAACGGTTTCCAACGTTTTTTAGCAATGATTACGCCACCGCTGGGAAACGTTACATGATGGTCTTCTCAGCACATGTACGTGCGTCCCAATTGCACCAGCAACAAATCATTCAAGAAATGTTTTTGTGAAAGAAATCCGGCTTACCTACTACAACAAATGCATTTGAAGCATTTTCCATAAAAATCAGTATGTAACAAACCAAGCAACAAAAAACTCAAGCACTTTACTGTAAACCACAAAATAGTACTAGACATCATGAGGTAGTCTCCAAATCAATGCCTAATAACAAAGTAAAATGGTACAAAAACATGCGATAAAAAAGTGTTAGAGGTAGAAAAGAACCTGGGCTTAATTCCTGAGTTCAATGAGAGTAAGAGAACCTGAGAGAAGAGGTAGCAATATGGCCAGTAATCAACAATGACTAATAAAACTCCAACTAGTGCGATGGGACAAAGCGCTTAAAATAAGTATGAAATCAGGCATAAAAATTTCTAAAAAAATGAAACAGTATAAAACAATAGGTACAGGGTAGCTCCGAACTTGGGGTCTACAAACAATACACAAGGATTTCGGTTGTGCGTAGAACTGCCAATATTGGGTTTATTGTGTTGTCTGCTCTGCCTTTTGTGCTTCGCTTTGGTGTTCCTTGCCTTAAAAGATCCGTTTATACTAAGGAATCAAATAAAACACGTAGAACACTTGAACTTGGTGCACTATGACTCACGGCAGCGCCCCTGAGAGTTGAGGTATGTTACCTAATGACCCGGCAAGAATCAATCCCCAATGTTTAAGACATTTTATCTCATTTGCGCTTAAGGTGAGATCTTTGTCACACATCTATCCCCTTATAAAACTTATCGAATCTATTTTATTATGGGTTATCGCTTTCATTCAGACTTTTCGCCAGCCGACGCTTGATGACAGACGTCCAAGTGGGTAATGCCCGACGGGACGCGACGCATCAATAATAAGAGTGCGGCTGACTTCGATATCCAAAACGTGATTACGCTATCAGACTTTAGCAAATGCCGAGACTCTCCGCTCGTTTTTCCCTTTGCTTTATCACTCATTGGCTCACTGATGCCTTTACGAGTCAGTAGATGAGTACAGCCTTATCGCGTGAAACTAATGGTGCAACCGTTCCATAGGGAGCCAAAATGCAGTGCAGTTGTTGTGGTAACATCTGGTAAGCAAAATGCAAAATCACGCAAAGAAAGTGGGGCTGCTTGATATGGGTCAGCAAATATTGGTATTGCGATGCACCGCGTACCCCGCCGGACGTCACGCAATAAATGTCTGCTTCGTTTAACTGAATGTCTTCAGCAGCCATCGATGAACTGTGGGTGATATAGGAACACAATTTTTCAGATTGTTGCCGACTGAATTGCATACTTATAGAACAGTGCCGTCGGAGGATAGAGATGTAACGGTAATAGTTGTTACCGCTTAGTCGCCTTTCTGTTAGGCAAAATTAAAAGTACTTCAGAGTCGATCATACACGAACTTTATGCGGAATACAGAAACTTACCTGTCTTTGTACGATGGGTCACTTTAGGGCAAGCAGTGAAAAGATGATCTGTAGCTCCGCAACCATAACATACCTAGGCAAATTGAAATTTTACCGAATGGTTTCATCGAAAATGTAGTCATTGATGGGTTACATGGGTGCCTCCGATACTTAACATGAGTAGAAATATTTTTTATGTGCTTCTATTTCGCAAATGAGATTATGGATGTACCACTTAACTAACTCTTGAATACTTCAAAAGCCTGTAATGTAAAATATTCACCTTCTCATCAGCATTAACCTTCTTACATCGTTGAGCCATATGATTTCCGAATCGTCCGCACTTGTAACATCTGAAAATTCTACCATTTGAACTTCAATAATAAATCAGAGGAATCAAAGAATGGTGAAGAGAAATGGTAAGCCGTTTCCCCGTCATTTTTTGCTATAATAACAAGGTAAGTCCCTTACCATCGCTCTATTTCAACAGTCATCAGTAAGACGGAAAACAGCGAATCTAATGAGGCGGAGAGACAGACTGTATTGTTGGAAAGATGCACATGAGGGAACACGCTTTGTAATTTGCTTAAGGCTGTAAACTCATTTCAAATGACTATTGGAAACGTATTCCTACGCATGCGATGGATTACATCACAGGAGAGTAGATGTTTCTTTAGTTTTCCTTATTTTCAAATTCTCAAGAAGTTCTCGTGATACGATTTATTTTCTGAAAATTTCTTCGTCTCAACTCCACATCTCATTTACAATTTTCATTTAGAATACACATCAATGTTTTGAAACGACCAAATCAGTACAAATCTTTCCACATGAATCAACCTGAGTATTCACATCAATCCGGAGAGCTAGTCGTCTTTTCACTACGAAGCATCAATAAGAATTAGAACACTCTAAAGGTAGCTTAAACACCTACCTTATCAGGCGATCCTTCTTCGAACCTAATGGACGAATGCTGCTGCCAATTAAGGTCTTGCTTTCGTCTTCTGGTCCAACCTAGGCCAGCGAAATCAATGATGGTCTCATTGAAAACCTGCCGAAGGAAGACATTACCTCCCAAGCTTCTAGTGCGCCTGCGCGTTGCCCATTATTTCGAGTGCGCACATAAAAACCAACACGTTCGCCCTCCTCCAAACTTCTGAATCCGTCCATCTTCAGTTCTGACTAAAAAGGATAAATGCATAAGGGAGAACATATTTTTGAGACCCACACATGAACCACTAACTTGATGAACGAATACATCTTCCTTTGTGTCATCCAAAACAATGAACCCGAAACCTTTGAGGACATTGAACCATTTGCATGTTCCAGTTTTGCGTTCCTGGAAAACAGCCAGTAAAACTACGAATGTTAGATTTGGTATAGGAGTTGGAAAACGAAATTAGAGGCTGAAACCAAGTAAAATAATAAGCGCATTTTTAAATCATAACGTAAATATCCACTCAGGCAGGCATCCGTCGACCCTCAACAAATCAATCTACCGAGTCTCCGAAGAAAAAAAACGGATGAACAAATGACGCTCAGTGGAAGTGAACTTTAATAAATGACACAGAGAATGCATCAACGTACAATATTCCATAATCACAGCAAAGAACANTTCCATTCTTGTTAGACGACTCATCCGTTTTACTGTCACGCTCTTGATGATCACTTGCTTTATCACTCTGATTATGAGACTGGTCAGCATCGCCATTTGTTTCCGATGCTGTCATGATAGAAGAAGATGGAGGGGCGACACTTTGGCTAAATCAATGTGTTAGTTGGAAAATACATGAAACTTTGAAGAGCTAGGCTTCCATGTTGAAGACTTCTTAGGAAGCTCAAAATATCGAAATTTACTTGGCCGAGAGTACTACCAAACACGAAACAGACAATTCAATATACCATATTAAATTAGGATAAGGTCAGATGTAATTAGGGCTCCAGATACGATCCCCAAACCGGGAAACTGTCACGAGCAGGAATAAATTGAATTATCGAAAATACACATGCCACCCTAAATTCTACACTCCTACTGTTTTTTGTAGTATCCATGTTGCATATTTAAATTAAAAAACAGTGAAATTCGCTAATTGGCCAAAATCGGGAAACACACGTGAAAAAAACGCGTGCTGTGTGCATTGACGACAGAGCTGGATACCGTACTCGGCAGCATGCAAAAGAACCTTCGACGGTATGTAAGGAAAAGAAACGTAATCTAGACGCTGTTGAAGTTCCTCGAACATGCGCCAAATTATTGGAATTCTTCTTCAGCCGCGGTTTCCTTCAGAAGACCTTCTTTGCGTTCCTTCCAATCACTTTTACCTATTATACTATTACCTGGGCAGCTCTACACTATCTGGGGGGAACCAAATGGTAGCACAAGAAAGTTGAAAATCGATTAGATATCGGAACCAACCAAACCATTAGTGCTTAAGCACCATTTTTTGTCTTTTCATATGCATTTCTGATTGAGGAACAACGTTTAGGATAGTCATGTTTATTCAAGGTAGAGGTACTGAAACAGTAGAATAAAGCTTTTTGATATGTACTAGATTTCTATGATTTCACAAGGGCTCTAAGAAAGATTAGACTTCAAATTACACAAGAAATAAGAGTAAGATGAGAACATGTCAAGATACAGAGTATATACACGGAGATGTGGAAACGCCAAGGGGTTCTATGATATAGTAGTAAGACCTCTTCAGGGTCAGAGATTTAAATTCAAGTGAGCTAGAGAGCATATATCAAGTATAAGAGAAAAGATCAAGACTAAAAGATCATGCGTAGTCAGTTAAGATCACATTTTAATACAGACATGTTCTTTTCATAATAGCGAAAAAGTCTGCTTCAGCAACGCGGCCTTCTGCATCCTTGCTTGCTTCCTTGATCATTTCCTCCAGATCTTCCTCACTCAAATCCTCACCAAGTTCTTTTGCTACCTGAAAAAAGAACCTGAGTATCAAACGCAACTATAAGCGGGCCTTGTTTACCTGTCTGAGGTTTTCTGCTGTGATCCATCCCTTGCCTTCCTTGTCGAAAAGTTTGAAGGCACTACGCATTTCGTCGGCCGTCTCATCTTTTTCACCATTATCTTCCTTGAGTATTTCCAGAAATTCATCAACATCCATATGATCAACTTCTATAATATACAACTGCAGTAAGAACCAACTTGCTTTTCATTGTACTCTGAGCATTTTTCACTGCAATCATATCACTGCAGTTATGAAAAAGCAATCACCACCAATCTTATGCAATCCAACGAACGTTTTCAAAAAATAGCACTTTGGGAACTGAAAGGCTCAACTCACCTTGATGGCCTCCCACCTTAGTTCGCTGCATTTCCCTGAATCTCATAGTCATCTGATCAATTTGTGCGTTACGAGGATCGAAACCAAGAGCCCGCATGACAAGCTAAAAGCATATTATAACTATGGAACTGAGCTGTTTTTGGTAGACAACACATCCTTCCTGCTACCTTCAAATCCGATAGCTTGAGTAGATGTGGGCGTTCTTCATTGCACATTGCAAACGCGGCCTCAACTTCTTTGCGAGATAGAGGTGTCGAGGAGGAAGACGAGCACGACATCCTAATTTGATGTATAGCTTCACATTACATCGGCATATTACAGAAATTACAAAAAAGAAGGAAATTTGAAAAGATATTCAAGGCAATCCATAACAAAAACAAAAACCGTTCACTAAAACTTTATATAACTCTCAAACACCTAAAATCCTACAAGCTATACAGTACGAAAGGCACATTACTTCGAAGCATCAAATATTTTACTGAACAATTTCATAAATAATTGTTGGAGCTTCGAGACTGGAGGAGTGAGGAAAAGAGGTAGCTGTTCTATATTTCGAGCCATCTAGAAACGTGAAAGTTTCGTACTGATATCGGACCTCGTCCTTGATTCGTAGACCATGGGTATCTGTGAAAGTAGATCCATTTGCTTCAAAGGATAAAAATAATTCTGTCACTACCTATGTTTTTCCTAAAAGTCGCCAAAGTGAGCGGGTCCCGAAGAGTGGATGCAACATATGCACGTGATTTCTGTGAGGTTTGAAGACAAGACTTGAGCACTCCGCACAACGCTGGTAAAATCTTAGAATCATATACCACGTCTGAAACTATTTTCATCAAATATGCTTAAAGTGCTTTTAAATCTGTTTCGAATTTTTTAAGTCTGGTTTAATCTCTCTTAGGATATTTCAAAGGACCACCTGCTGCTATGACTACATCTGGCTCACTGTTCAGCTGTGTGATATCGAAAGATGTCCAGTCGATATTCAACACTTCTATAGAAGAACAAGTCTGAAATGACAATTATTTTGCTAATTCAGAACCTGACGTCTAATTTCTGAACTTTTGGTTATTTGAGATGAGGGCTGGGGATACTGCTGTACTCGCCAAAATTATACGAGCTGCCCGTAAGACCACACATATAGAACTTGCAGGCATCCAGAATCAATAAATATGTTCTCGACGCTGCCGCACACGCAAATCCCATTCAACCAATGGAAAGACTAGCAAAGGCTAAAACAAATCCACTGAACACTGGTGCGACTCAGCTTTAAAACATGAGTAGGAACTACAAAAAGGGTACTTAAAAAGGATCAATGCGACATTAGATCATGAGTTCAGTTCCTTTAACCAACGGCCCTGACTGTTAAGGCTTGAGTGAACTCACTGATCAATTAGCTAGACATACGAAAGGTTTTAGATGTTGGCAAGAAGAGATAGAGGATGTACTCATAGAGCTCTCACTTATAAGGTGTTTTCAACAATCGAAAACTACTCCAAATTGCGTTGTCTCTCAGCAGCCCTTCTCAAGGGATAACCTTAGCCTTGCACAAAACAAATGGTCTCCTTTTAATGCTCAATTTTCCTATACTACCGACAATTACAATCCGCATACTGCACATATGGTGCCTTTTAATACACAATACATCGTGTTACGCTAATGCAATGATCAAACTAACCATGGTTAAACTGACCTCATCCAAATTCTCCTGGACATTGAACTCCAGCTGTTTCAAAACTTTACTATCATAGTCGGAAAGAGAAACGTTACAGTTACGGAAAGTTCTCGCAACGGCGATTCCTAAATATTTAGTAAAATCACACTACATTAGTATATTACATAACAGCCAAATCTTTAAATGGATGGCCAACCTGTCAAGCCACATCCCGCTCCGAGTTCCAGCACTTTAGTGCACGAAAGGTTTTCGAATTGACTCAAAAAATTTGCCAAGTCACACGAAGCCTGAAAAATTTACATTGACAAACGCTATTTAACAACAATTGAACTCCCTCAGATGAGTTAGAATGTACCCTACCGCAACTTTTTTAGAGAACGGCGGTATAGCATGCATTGGCTAACTTCTTTTGCGTGATAAGTATTTTTGATAACTGAATTTTGTAGGAAGGCTTAAGACAACCTAATGCAACTCGAGATATTCAAAGATTTGCCCCAAACACATGAGCATGTTTTGATAAGTTTCATTTGGAGAGGAAAATAAAAAGGCAACAAGAGTGAAACACACCTGCCACAATGACAGACCTGTTGTACCATGGCATAATTGTTGTGTAGACTCCCGAATAACTACAAGTACTTCTGCTAGATCAGATGTTAAGAATATACGATAGCACCATTCCATCGTGTCCACCATACAGCTAGCGTAAATGGTGTACAACTCATCTGATACATCCATGCTCAATCGTTCCAGCTGGAATAGCTGCTACTCGGAAGGGACAGGAATGTTCAAAGGCAAAATATACCTCTGTGATAAGTAGCTTTAATAAATTCCGACGGTAACTCTTTCTAATAGGGTAACTTTCCAACAGTTCGTTGCACAAGACAGACTTCACAAACTTCTCATAGAACTGGTTATCAGATAGGAACAGTTTTACGATATTATTTAAGATTTCGATAGGTATTTTGGTTCCCGTAAAATAGTAGCGTGTAAATGTGGCTGCTTCCTGAAAATGCACTTGAACTAACAGGAGGGGGTGAAATAAAAAGTGAAATTCTTTATATGCTGATCAATCCCGACCGAGCGATGCGCCATAGTTTTGACTTGCACTCAGAATCGTCTTGGCGTATTGAATGCGTGTGCAGCCTTTACAATGACTTGCGGTGGCCAGCCGATGAACAAATCAGTGCTTTTATTCTCCTAGGCAAGTCTGGTACCAATTTGCCGATACCGCACGGATGGAACACTTGGTTGGCCCAGGCGGATTTCGATCGGAGACTTGAACTTGTGAACATACATTTATGATAGTGCGCCACATGCCACACTGACTTGTACATCAGTTGGCCAGTCATGTATAGTTCACATACACTTCAATACACCACTCCAATTTTGAATGGAAGCTGAAAGCGGGGGCGCATCTCTTAGATGGGATTGCTCGACGACCCAAGACTTTATCCCTTACAGAGAGATGAAATAAACGAAAAAAATCAAGTCATAACAACATGCTAACCGGAGTAAAATCTGATGCATCTATGCCAGAAGTTCTATCAGCTTCGCGGCTTCCGATTAATTTTCTTGAATTGTTTGTTGGCGATGTTGACATCTGAAGGGCAGCGCTCAACTTACTGACGCAGAAAGCAATTGGGAAACGTACTATAAGCTGTTTGAGGGAGGACGTAGTTAGGTCTGACGTAAGGTATGCCATAATGTTTTGCTTGAACCAAACGCTTCTCTCCTTCCAATATCAACTCCGCGATCTGTTTTGGATCGGTCACCTGTGGAAAAGGATTTTATAAGCCCTATTAAGTTGTTAAGGTGTGAGAAAACAGAAACGTACCTCTTTATTTTCGCGGAACGTCCTTGTGGCTTCTTCCAATATGTCTTTGCGCTCGATCAGCGTTCGCTGAGCATCCTTTGCTTCCCAGTGTTTCCCTAGAAAATCTGATTCGTGCGTCATGTTTTCAGAAAGGATTCCGATTGAAGACTATGCTTCGCGTAGGATCACACACGCACTTTCTATCAAAGCCTAAGGATTGTCATGGAATGGAATACAACCGCCTTTGTAAACTTCTCCAAATTCAAGAGCGCAAACTGCGAATACCATCAATGCTTGCTGCTTCCCGCACCTCAAACTCACACTTTAGGAACTAGGGAGGAAATGTAGGTGGGGAAAGGGGAGGCTGGGACCGACTGCTCTTTTCCAACATTGAGCGCTAGAGCGCAGAGAAGTTAGGGCCTGCCGACCGAGGTAATATGTTTTTTTTTTCAACCTGAGTAGTAGGAGACAAAGACACCGGGAGGACTGAGTATTCAATTTTTATTGCAACCCAGTTCTTGGGAAAAGGTAATGATCTTAATCACCCTGGTGCTGTTCCCCTTCGAAGCTTAAATTTTTTTTCTTTTCAACTAAATTCTCTTGGCTAGGAACCGTGAGTCTTGAATGAGAACGTGAGTAATTTCGGCAAAGCGGCGGGAGAAGTCCAACAAATCAGGTATCACCTGAACAACAAATAATTTAATTTACCTAGCTTCAGGATATCCTTGTATAGACCAAGTACTCGATTTCGGCTCGCAGCCACTGACATCAAAGTTCACTCCTAAATGAGCTAAAACGACTTAGATAACAAGACTTCAAAGTAACAGTTGTTTTCGAAAAAAAAAAAGAACAATGCGAATTGTGAGGTTTGAGATTGTGAAGCTATGCCGCACTAAACTGTTTGTAAATATCGTTCAGAATCCCGAGAAGTCTAAAATATCTAGCGGATCTCAGAAAATACTAGAAATCATATTTCTGTCAATAATTCTGAAAAAAAAGAGGATCGTCGTCGGCAAAAAATTTAATTGACGAAGAGTATGTCCGCAGCCGGTCGGTTGTGAGAATGCAGAAATCGATTTGAGCTGGGAATGCGCCGACAGGAATGGACTTGTTTTTCTCCTAGTTTCCCTTTCCCTGGGAAGGAAGCCAGTTGGTTTTTGTTTTTCAAGCTGACCCGGCGTTCCAGCCATCAATTTCTGCTTTATTTGTAACGGATAACTCAAAGCCACACCACCGGAACCTCAAAGAAATTGACTGTTCCCTACATTAATCCAAACTGAGCTCGAAACAATAAAAAGGATGTGAAGTGCCCCTGAACCACTTTTAAAACTGGTTTGAGACTGCTTTTTGTACGAAAGGAACGGCTCATTTTCATTCACCCGTAGATCTGGATATGTCAACTATCTAGGGCGTATAGTAATTTTCTTACTGTAGTTGCTAATTGCTAGTCTTCTTCAACTTGTTACGGTCTATATAAGTTGGTTGAAAGCATTCTAGATATGAAAATCATTGACGTTCACCATCATGCGTTTACGGAACCTGTACGTCGAATTTTAAATGTCTTCGATATGAAGCACTTCTATTTTTCGGAGGTAAGGACGCTTAGAAAACAGGTTTTGACCTTGTTTTGATTTCTATTGTTTGGTTAACTGTTGATGATCTCCGCAGTTAATGGTCACAAATGCTACCGTGGGGTGTTGATTTATAGTAAGAAGGAAGTTGGGCTTTGGGCGGGATTCGAACCTGCTGCAATGTTTTTGGACATGGTGCTTGCAATCGTATGAGGGGTTACAAAGAAAATTTTTCCGTAGTTCACACCCCTTCCAAAACTTTATCTAAGGGACGTCATGACAATGGGCCTTGGGAAGAGAAGCTGAAGAAAACGAAACATAAACCTAAGAAAAATAATACTTTTATATCCGGGTATATCGACTTTATGCAATGCCTTTGCCCTTCTACACCCCGTAAATGGCTGAAGTGATCTAACCAGTAATTTTTCCAGGGTTATCAACTACTACTAGACTTTCTTCATGAGCTTAATGATGCGGTTTTGAATGTGAAGACATGCGACGATGTTGCTGTTGGCGACAATGCCTTAAAAGTGATAGAAATGTTAGATAAACTATTGGTAATATGCTAAGTTATTTACTACTATTCCCCCTTCCGATAAATAATTGTTATTTATTCAGGGATGGATGGACTTATTCCCTCCCGAGGAGTCAATGGATCAAAGGTACGGGAATAAGTCATATCGGAAATGGTTCGATCACCTACAGAATGTATGTCTCGCATCTTGTAGGAGACTTTAACTACTTGTAAGATACAGTCATAGTGGATAGAGACCGTTCAGGAAATGAATAATGTTGTATCGGATCTACTACCTGATGATATGAAACCAGCAACCATAGAATTATGTGCATATCTTGGAGATTCGTTCGGAAATGCTACCCGTATTGATTATGGGTCAGGTAAGTCGCTAGTGCTTATTTGTATTGGGTTGTTAGGAAAATTCCCGCCTTTTTTTGAGCACCCTTAGTTTATCAATCGTTGTACCGGAGAACAAGGACCCAAGCCTAAAAGGTTATATATTTTCTGAAGGGGTAGGTCTTCTTCCATACCCATGTTCGGATCCTGTTAACATTCCCAAAGTCTTTCTGTATAGGACTCGTGTGAAAACTGGTAACCATCGAGTGCATTTCCGGCATCTGATGCTTTTCTTCTACCGCAGCAGCAAGAACGCTGCTCACGCCACGAGAACGATTTGTCACGTTTAGGTTAATGATGCTTTAGGGGGTATTACAGTGCATGAGTAATTTGCGAATTCTGAGAGTGTGAATTCATCCTTGAAGATCGGCAAGACTTAGGGAGGCATCAGATGAAAACGGCCAGATCAAAATTGTAATCAAAACGAAGAAACACATCACTATTCGTGAATTAGGACAAAGGCTCAATGTTTCGAAATCAGCAATCCATGGCCATTTTCTGAAACTTGGTTTTGTTCAGCGCCATAATGTTTGGGTATCTCACGAATTGAGCGCGAACGTATTTGGTGGACCGCGCCTCCGTGTACGACTGGTTGCTCGAACGAAACAAAAATGAGCTGTTTTTGAAACGCACGAAAACGGAGGTTGAAAAGTGGGCCGTGTGCAACGTAGAGCGGAAACGATCGTGGAGCCTCTCCAGTGAGCCGTGACAAACCGTACCAAAAGTCAAAATTCAGGAGCGGAGGATTATGCTCATTACGAGCTGTTGCTGTGTAGTCGAACGGTAACTTTGTAGAGGTACTGTACTCAGCTGAACATTTCAAAGGCAGCGATAGACCAGAAGCACGCAAAAGTGACCAGTCGTAAGGGCATTGTCTTTCAACAGGACAACTCCAGACCACATGTATTTTCGGTCGCTCGTTAAAAATTGCTGGAGATTGGGTGGGATGTCTTACCACACCCCCATATAGTCCGGACATAGCACCAACAGACTACCACTTGTTCAGGTTTCTGCGGAAACCTTGAACGGAAAATCGTTCAGTCCGCTGAAGGACTGCAAAAAGCACCTGAGAGGGTTTTTCCATTTTAAGTCTAGAACCTTCTATGAAAGTGGGACAATAAAGGGAACTTTCCAGACAACTTAATACTTCTCTTGACTTAGTCGCGGCTGCGCCCGTTGAAGTGCATATGGAAATTTCAGGTCATGAGTCCTGCTTCGCAATTTTCCTTCTGTGCCTTTATCGCATTGGATTTTTTACGGCCTCTGATCATCAAGCAGTTGTGCTCAGAGTTTTTGTGAAGTCAGTTATCCTTATTTTAACAACACTAGTTGTTCCATTCTTGCGTTTGCAGATATTTACATCTTTGTCGCTCTCTGCAGACAGTATACAAAATGGAGCCAGCTGGCAGCCAAGGCGTGCACTCAATAGATGATTTTCAGTTCATTCCTTTCCTCTGGGGAAGTGCTCAATTAGCCAGTGAGTCTTTCCTCGGCAGTTGACATGATAATAAAAGCATTGGAGGCTATGCATCACCCACTTAGGAAAGTTTCAATTATAACCCGCTCACATATATGAGCCAGGGTGTCCAATTTTTACGTTTTCTTGTGTCTTACTGAAAAAGAGTCAAACTTATATGCAGCTTGCTACAAAAGATGGGTAACAGAATACTAAGCACTGAAGAATTTTCAAGTTTACATATGTTGTACAAAAAAATTTGCAGACAACAAATCGTTCGTTCCTGAATCCTATCTAAAGGCAACAACCGTGGAAGCAAACGCACACAAGTACCTCTTTTTTGACTGTGTGAACTTCATTAATCAGGTCTGAGTTTTTTTCAATTTTCTAGCTTTTTTCGATCTTTTATTGACTCTATATTTGGTTATTCAATAAGCTGTTTTTTCGAATTTCATTTTATAATCAAGATTAACTTCAATGAAAACAATGTTTCATGCGAAAGACAATAATAATGTACTTTTCTGTCATGTGGAATTGTAATTACTGCACCCCTTTCAACTCGTTTATTCGAAGTTTCTGAAGGGGAGGAATTTGAAGACTAGAAGGCAATACCGGCTGTTTTTGATGTCTGCAATTCCTGGGTTTTCGTCAAGGTCAAAAGCTATCAGGACAGCTGGAAAAGTTTGCAGCATCCACTGCGGGGGTGTTTTCGGCGAGTCCAATACACGGAATTAACCCTCCAAAGCTTGGAAAAAAGACTAAGGTTTTAACTTTACGAGGAGAATTCAAATCTCTTCAAGGAAGACGACTGCAAATAAGACGCGAGTTGGGCTCAAATATATGTAGCTTTCATGCAGTCATAATTGATCATTTTATCAACTCCATTCGGCGCTAGTTTTTGGAAAAAATGGGTGCTTTTATGGTGCCTCACAAGCTGACAGAAGGAGAATACTTTGCTGCGCAACATTTCGCCCAACATCAAGCAACGTCACGCAGGTGACAGAATATGATTTACTATAAGAAACGAATGAGGACGAGAACTGTCAGGTCTAAATGATGCAGGGGGAAGCCCCGGAAGTAACTGGGCTTCCATTGAATTCGATGAAAGCGGATGGAGATTATGCTGACCTTTGCTTCCTGGATATTTCATTCCTCAAACATCAAAAATCGTGCAAAAACATATTACTAAAAATAGGCATTAGAATTCTGTAGAGCAAAACGAGCTCTTTCGATTAGTAATACCCTTTGATAATTAACGCTCAGATGATTATAAATTGAAATGAAAAACGAAAGAACCGTAATGCTAACCAGCTCTATCGCAGTTCATCGAGACCTTTCGATAATTTAGACAAAGAGCGGTCCATTTTACCAACATTCTAATCAATTATGGAACATTTCGGCTGTACCGACTTGGACCAAAGTGAACAGTGGACTATTCAAAATGTACGAGGGGGAGGTAAGTTACTAGCTCTCTTCATATATTTCTACAATCTTAATGCTATCTTGGTTCGCCAATACTCTGAAACCGCTCCTATTATGATTATGTTGTGTATCCCTCCAGCATTACTGAGCTTTCATATTCTTTCTACTCGTTTCAATAAGTAATGTCATGGAAAAGTGACAAAGATTTATTCCTTCTTCATGAAATACTATCAGAGTTGATATCGCTTCCATCAAAGAACCTTTTTCCATCCATTCAAAAATGATTGTTTCAAATTCTCGTTGAGAAGAGCTGTTTCAGGTATTGAAGAAGTTCCCGGTTGTGCAGCACTTCCGCTTCGGCTCGCTGTTTTCGTTTGATGAACGTCCCAATACGGGTCTTCCACCTACAGAACCAACTGCACAAACAGCCTCCACTCAGCCTGAGTTGGAAACTCGCATGCCTCCCCCTACGAATCTCGGTGCCCAGGCCACTGTGCATCCTGTTGCCCATGCTCAAATCCCTTCTCCTCACTCGCACCTCCCGAAAATTGAAGAATGAATTAGGA